AAGAAGGCAGTTTTTCTGCTATCTTCTGGAGGTCAGCTGCTTTAAGGGTTCTGACAATGTGTCAAATCTTTGTCAGTTCAATAACATAAGAATAAATAAGCTGAAGTTTAACATTAGACATTAATGTGGTTCTGAAAAGCATGACTCTGTAACTGTAAATGGGCTGAAACTAAATTTACTGAATAATTTAAATCCTTTATGCCATCAAGTAAAGTGACACCCAACATGTGGTTTTGACCAAAAGTAATACCTTTTCTTATAAAAATTTAGTATAGGGTGTGTTTTTATGCCCCTGCCATGTAATGGCCGGGGCATATAGTGTTACCCTGTTCCGTCATTCCGTCCTTCTGTCATTCCGTCATCATCAGCATGGTTCGCACGGGCCTTGAAAAGTCCTTGAATTTGGTTTCAACCTTGAAAAGTCCTTGAATTCAGGGATGCCTTGAAAAAACACTAAAATTGTCCTTGAATTTCAGTAAACCCCCTTGAATTTCGGTAAAATGCCTTGAAAATCCAAAAGGGTTTAAAACCTGTCGCTGTAAAAGTCAGGCAAATTTTCCGCTACAAATCGGACATGTGAACGAAGGCAGCCCGATCGAGTGCGCCCATTTGGATCTGTTTTAGTAGTGTTTAGCCAGCGTTACGGTTTTGGCACGGATTTTAACAAGCACTTGTGTATGACGTCATCGCAAATTGTGTACAAAATGTCAGCTTCCATTGCGAAGTAAAAAATGGGAAAATACACTAAGAAATGTACGTTTCAGCTCAAATGGCTTCAACAATACAGTTGGGTAAAACAAGTTATACAAGACCCACGAAAAGCACAATGTACCATGTGTATGTGTATGAAAACCATCGCAAATGGGAGAGAGTGCATTAACATCGCATGCGAGGGGTGCAAAGCACCTCAAAAATCTAGACATCAAGTCGTCATTGACGAAGTGTGGCCTTGCATTTGTCAGACAGGAAGGAACTATAAATGTCAAAACTGAAAATTGCAGTAGATCTGATTCAAATAATAACATTGTGCCATCCCAATCCACAACGGAAACTGTGCATGACATGACAATACCACCCCCACCCACTTCTAGTAATCAAGAAAATGTCCCCTGTGTGTCCAGTAATCAAGCAGGAATATCTCCGTTCATTTCAAAGATCTCAAGAAAAAGAAGGCAAGACTTCAAATTGATATCACCATTCTAGAAGAAAAATCTGAAAAACTGTTGGAAAAGGCTGAGAAAACTGGAAAAATAACATTTGTGACTGAATCAAACATTCTAAGAAGGAAGGGCTTCAAAGAAAAGAAACTGGAAGTTGAGGAAATTGGAAGAGAAATCCAAAAAAGAAAGGAAAAACTAGATAGAGTTGTGTGAATTTACTCAATCACCTATATGTTACAGTTTTTGGTGTTCATATATTCTACTGACTGTGCTGATTTTCTAAATATAGTCACTGTTTTGCAATTCTAGTCATTTGAACCTTAAATTGAAATACGCATGTTTTATTTACATGTTTTATATCACAGATATGGTTGTAAAAGTATAATTTTAAATAAGATCAATTGCAATAAAAATGTATATCACAGATATGGTTGTAAAAGTATAATTTTAAATAAGATCAATCGGGAAAAAAATGCCTTGAAAATGACAATTTTACCTTGAAAAGTCCTTGAAAAGTCCTTGAATTTTGATTTGAGAATTTGGTATGAACCATGATCAGTTTCCGTTCATTATCTTAGTAACGGTTGCACATATTCAACTCAAATTTGACATATGGATATGTCATGAGAAAATACAGGTCAAGTTCTAATTTGGTCATGGTTCGATGATTTTTGGTAGAGTTATGCCCCTTTTACTTTGAAAATAATATGAAATTTTCAGTTTCCGTTCATTATCTCCCCAACGGTACAACTCATTCAACTCAAATTTTACATATGGATATGTCATGAGAAAATACAGGTCAAGTTCGAATTTTGTCATGGTTCGATGATTTTTGGCAGAGTGATGCCCCTTTTACTTTGAAAATAATATGAAATTTTGAGTTTCCGTTCATTATCTCCACAACGGTACAACACATTCAACTCAAATTTGACATATGGATATGTCATTAGAAAATACAGGTCAAGTTCGAATTTTGTCATGGTTGGATGATTTTTGGCAGAGTTATGCCCCTTTTACTTTGAAAATAATATGAAATTTTCAGTTTCCGTTCATTATCTCCCCAACGGTACAACATTTTCAACTCAAATTTGACATATGGATATGTCATGAGAAAATACAGGTCAAGTTTGAATTTGGTCATGGTTCGATGATTTTTGGCAGAGTTATGCTCCTTTTACTTTGAAAATAATATGAAATTTTCAGTTTCTGTTTATTATCTCCCCAACAGTACAACACATTCAACTCAAATTTGACATATGGATATGTTTTTGGAATGCCCAGGCCCAGTTCGAATTTGTTCATTGTTCAATGATTTTTGGCAGAGTAATGCCCCTTTCACTTTGAAATTAATATGAAATTTACAGTTTTCTGTTCATTATCTACCCAGCAGTGTTACATATTCAACTCAAATTTGACATATGGATATGTCAAAGGAATGGGCAGGTCAAGTTGGAATTTGGTCATGGTTCGATGAATTTTTTGGCAGAGTTATGTCCCTTTCACTTTGAAAATAATATAGATACATCTTAGGAATAAGCAGTTTAAGTTTGAATTTGGTCGTGGTTCAATGATTTTGGACAAACTTATCTTTCTTGAATATTTGAAAAATTTTGAACTTTCAGTTTCAGCACTCATACTTTTGTGGAAATGTATGTAGCCATTATTTTGGCTACAAATATGAAATATGCTATTTTCAAAAGGTTAAGACTGAATAATTTCAGTGCCTTGAACATTGTATGGAAATGGTTTGTGTTAACATTGAAAAGTTTTAAGGGCTTTGAACTTTAAATGAAAACAATAATTTGTGCAAACAAATTTGAAACTAAATATTATAACATCTGAAATTTTGGCTGCATGCGGGGGCATCCGTGGCATGATGACACATTTCTAGTTTTATATGTACATAAGCTAGAGTATTAGAAATCACAAAAATGGTTTGTTCAAATATGTGCTTATCGGTATGTTTTTATTTTGTCAACAATAAAACATCTACTTTTTATTTTACGTTTGAAAAAATGTTTGCGCATAATGCTATGCACCTGGTTGACAGCCAGTATTAGCAGTTTTTCATGCCTGATTTGTATCTCTTGAACTGGTTGAGGAAATTGAAACTACTTGACAGAAATGTTAACCATAATGAGTTGATGTCAGAGCACATGTTTGACCTTCCTCAGGTCAAGGTCACAGTCATTTTGCATCATATTTCAAAATTATGTGTCTGCTCTTTTTCTTTTGAACCGGAAAGAAATTAAAACTTTTTGGCAGAAATATTTCTGATAGTAAGACTATGTGCAGAACACAGGTTTGGGTTTCCTGAGATAAAATTGGCTCCACCATTGCGATTACTTGATAAATATAGACTTATATAGGAAAACACATAAATTTATGTTTCTTTGTGTGAAACCCTAATGTCTAGAGCTTAGATATTCAGCATGTAGTATTGTCTTACTGACCTTTACAAAACTGATATGAATCATGCCCCTTGGTTCAATATTGGCCTGCCCCAGGGGTCATTTGATTTATAAAAACTTATATCTGAGAAATTTTGTGTGAAACTACAATGCCCAGAGCTTAAATAACTGGCATGTAACATCACTTTGTGACCACAAAATAACTGGTATTAATTACATGTATGTCCCTTGGGTCAATATTGATCCCCCCTCTAAGGTCATTTTGTTTTGTATAATGTACAGAAAAACACATTCAGGTCTAATTTTGATGAAACCACAATGCCTAGATTTGAGGCATTGCATTGTTGGCATCTACAAAACTGGTATTAATCATGTCCCTTGGGTCAATATCGGCCATGCCCCTGGGGTCACTTAGTTGATATATAGTCTTGTATGAGAAAACACATTTTAGTCTTATTTTGTGAAACTACAATGCCAAGAGCTTAAATATGCCAAGAGCTTAAATATGCGGATGCGCAGGCTGGTCTGAATTCATGCTGGTCGCAAACCCATTATGTTGGTTTTGTCGTGATGCGGCTCATATCTTAAAAAACTATGCCTCTTTATTTGGAATACCAGTATAGCATTGCCTAGTAGACCTTTATAAATGTATAATGAATCAAGCACTTAGTGTAAAAAATGCCTCCATCTTGGAGGTCATATAGTAACATGAGGATAATTAAGATGTAACATTTTTCAGACAAGTTAAGTTTCTTTCTCTAACCTATTAAAGAGATTATTTTTGATCACTGAAACAAATTTACATTTTGGCATATATTTCCCCTCCTTTGCAGTGCTCCATTTCATATAGTAGAGGAGAGGACTAAACACAACAATCCAACATTTGTCTCATATCAGGCATTTCAGCTGTGTTTGGTAGTTGCTATTTACACCTTTTCACAATACAATCAGGCATATTTATCTTTTTAATCTTATTAGCAAAGTTAAAGTTTTTGGATAAACATTATGACTGACTGATAAACAGACAGACAGATGGACAGAATGACTGACAGACTGACCAACTAAATATACCCATAAATTCCATGCCGGTGGCTCAAAAAAGATTTTTGCAGCTAGGGCCTCATCTATTTAAAATTGTACCACTCTTGAATGCATGGAATAACAGTAAATACTAAAGGCAAGCACAAAGCACAATAAGTAACAGGTTGTTGCCCTAATGTCTGTAAGCTTGATTGGGATAATTAAGGTCAAAGTGACATTTGATATGAAATCCTTGTATAATCAATAACTAGAGTTTCCTTGCTAAAAGGGTTATGAAACTTTATAGTTATAATTCTATTATTTTTACCTTGTAGAACAATTATCTGCCTGGTCTTACACAACTTTGATATAAACTTTTGATAACTATACCAATGTTTTTGTATTTTAGAAAGTTGAAGGAAGCGAAGGAAAAATTAAAGCATTTACAGAATCTGGTAGCAATAGTTCAGCATTCTCCAGGTATGGCAGATGAGTTACCTGATAATCTAGCTGAGATTGCTGCAAGCATCGAGGATGTTGAGTCACAGCTCACCCAGACTGATGATAGAAACAACGCCAGTGAGGGAGAAGTTCCTAATCAGGCTGAACGGTAAACAGAACTTTATATGAAGTAATATTGTGATACCATTTTTGACAGGTATCTAAAATGAACATGTTATACAAAACATACATGTATGGTACTGAAATTCTTTGTCTGTGACACACTTTTGGTTAAGTTTTTCAAACCACTCGTCTTATTTTCTATACCATTTGAGTTATTACTTTGAAACTTTGTATTCTTGTTAGTGAGCATCATACCCAATTCCAGGCAAGGGACATAACTCGGTCATGGATTTCAACAAAGTTATGCCCTTTTTCAACTTAGAATTTTGTGGCCACCTCACTTATTTCCTGTACCCATTGAGGTATTGCTTTGAAAATTTAAATACTTGTAAGTGACCATCATATTCACTTCATTGACATAACTCTGTCATGGATTTTGACAAAATAATGCCCTTTTCAACTTATAATTTTGGTAATTTTTTCATATCACACCATTTTTTACCTATACCCTTTGATGTACTGCTTTGAAACTTTGAATGCTTGTTAGTGATCATCATCCCATCTTCCAGGCAAGAATTTATAATAGTCAAGTGCGCTGTCTTACGGACAGCTCTTGTTTTGACTTCACCTGAGCTCAAAGGTGATCTTTTGTGATGGCATGCTTTCCTTCTTTGTTGTTCATCTTTAGCATCATTTCTTCAAACAACATGTCCTTTTAAACCAGATTGTGGATATTGACCAAACTTGGAATAACTAATACACAAAAGTAATTCTGTGATAGAAAAAACAGAAAATATATTGAACAAAATGTTAAAAATGTGTTTTATTCCTCAGTTAATGGTTCAAGTTTGATACATAAGTAGGTCAAAGGAGCTTAAGATTTTTAGAACTTAAAGCTTTAAATATCTTCTCAATTGGCATGAACATCACCTTGTGGTCCTTGAAAAAAGTTTTATAAATCATGTCCCTCGGTGAATTTGGCCCAGCTTTTAGGGTAATTTGATTTACATAGACATACGATAATATAGGAAGTGATTTCCTTTTGCATATTTTACAGCCTTATATAAGCTGTTTCCCCTGGCCAAAAAAAAGAATTTTTTGCTTTGTTTTCCTTTAAAAGGGAGTCACATTTCCCCCTTGTACAGAGAAAGTTCCACAGCAGTAAAAAAAAAGTTAAATAAGCAAATAAACCTTTCTAAATGGTAAAAATTGAAGTTGATGTACTGCGCTATATTTTCCCCTTCAGAAATCCACAATTTGTTTTGAAATAGTAAAAAAAAAAATATATATATATACTTTGCTTAAGTATTTGAGATAAAGCAATAAATTGTTGTCCTCTACAGAAATTCTCCTTTATCTTCAGGATTCAGTAAGTATACATAGGTTTATGTCGGAAAAACACATTTACATTTCCTTCCTGAAATTATTTTAATTATTTCTGTGATAAATTGATAGAAAATAGCGTGAGTAAAATGTTTATAATATCTGTTTAATTCCAGAGATGCTTATTACCAGATAAAGATGGAAGAACAGATGAATGAGTTAGAAGAGTTGAAGAATGAGAAATCTCGTCTTCTAACCATACAATCTCAGTTACAATCTCTACATGACAAGTTCTCACAGGTAGAGATGAACTAGTAATGTTATAAATTGCCCAGAAATGTTGACAAAAAAATATTGATTTTAGAAAATAATTCATCCATTTGAAGAGTTCTTGCAGTCCTAACTAACAACTTATAATTAAAGGTATATTAATTCCTATGATGTCTAAGGACATCTTTTAGTTAAACTATTATTTACTGAGATTAAGTTATACTTTTTTAAAAAGTTTATTTAGTAAGAATGGTTCTTCTTGTATTTCTAGAAAGATAAACAGTATCTTTTTGTTCAAATAGATGAAATGATTTCTTTTACGAAGATTTCTTTTACAAAAGGATAAAAATCTTACTGAAATAAGTATTTGAGTGTTAAATGCAACCTTTCACATTGAATAAGATAGAGATCAAGTTGATTATGGTGTTGTTCTATTGCAGGAAGAAGCAAGTAGACAAGCAGTAGGAGGCCAGGGAACAAGGGAAGGCACAAGACCCAAATCTCCTATGCAATCAGAGCCTGATGGTCAGCAACAATCAGGTGGTCCAAGTGTTACCTGTAGGTTATATTTTGTTTTATTCTTAAGGATTGTTCTTTTCTTTTAATTATACCCCCGCCACAAAATGTGAGGGGGAGGGGGGGCTATAATGGATTCGCTTTGTCACGTCGATCCGTCTCCATTTTCGTGTCCACTCTTTAAATCCTATACCAATTGAAGGATTTTCTTCAATCTTGGCTCAAATGTTCCCCTTAACAAGGTAATGTACAGAACCCATGTTGCCCTTTTGCCGGCTTAAGGTCAAGGTCACACTTGAGGGTCAAAAATTGACTTAGAAAATATTCTTAAATTTTAACATGTATTTGAATATTTCTGAAACTAGAAAAGGTATTTGCTTGAAACTTTGCCCCTTTTTAAGTCTTCAAATTTACATACAATCAAATATTAGACAATATGTCGTGTCCGCTCTATAAATCTTATACTAATGGATGAATTTTCTTCAAACTTTACTCAAATGTTCACCTCAACAAGGTTATGTGCAGAACCCATGTTTCCTTTGTGCCGGCCTAAGGTCAAGGTCACACTTGAAGGTTAAAAATTGACCTAGAAAATTTTCTTAGATTTTAACATGTTTTATATTTTTCTGAAACTAGCACAGGTATTTGCTTGAAACTTAAAAGATATATGAGGTGTCACAAGTAAGATATGCAGGTCAAGTTTCATAACTCTGTATTGCACTTTGACAATGTTATGCCTCTTTTTAAGTCTTAATATTTACATACAATCAATACTGGACGATATGTTGTGTCCGCTTTATAAATTCTATACTAAAGGAAGGATTTCTTCAAATTTTACTCAAATGTTCACCTTAACTGGGCAATGTGCAGAACCCATCTTACCCTTGTGCCAGCGTAAGGTCAAGGCCACACTTGAAGGTCATAAATTGACTTAGAAAATGTTCTGGAATTTCTACAATTCCATTGAATTATGACACAAGTTATGCCCCTTCTAGGCTTAGAAAATGTTCTGATATAACCATTAATACTTAAATGTTTCTGAAACTAGAACAGATATTCACATGAAACTGTATAATATATGAAGGGTCACAAGTAAGCTCAGTATGCAAAGTTTTTCCACTCTTAATTACATTTTGACATAATTATGCTATTTTCTTAACTTCACTGCTTTTGTTTGTTTTAGTAAATTGGGAAAATGAAAGGTTATTTCTAACTGTTATTTCGAACATGATTTGATAATATATATTTATACTATTACCTGTACAATTTGTCTTTTTTTCACCAGAGATAATTTCTTTTTATGTACAATGTATATGTATTTGTGCCACTAAAGTTATTCCCTTAACCACCTTTCCAAGTCGTCTTCTGTCAAGGACATTGGTGGGGGTATGAATCGCATTCAGCGATAGTTCTAGTTTTGAATTGTCTTGTCATAATCATTCTAGGGGTAGTAAGCGTAGATAACTTTCATCCTATCCAAGTCCCTTTGTGTATGTTTCTTTTCTTTTCTAACCTGTGAGCTTTTGTGGGCATGGTGTCAATCGTTCATAGTCTGTGGTTTTCCACAATTTCTTTCTTTTTCACAAAATATCCTATTTTACAAAGACTTGTAAAGTAAAAATGTTTTCTCTGAAATAAAAATGCCAAGGGCTTAGATATTTTGCATGAAGCATCTTCTGGTCCCCTACAAAGTTTATACATTATGCCTCTGGGGTCAAAATTGACCCCGCCCTGCCTTAGTTTGTATAGAAAATACTTTTGAGAAACTATATTGCCAAGAGCTTAGATATTTAACATGTAGTATTGCCTAGTTGACCTAACAAAAGTTATAAAAGTTATGCCCTTTGGATTCAAAACGGCCCTGTCCTAGGGGTCACTTTTTATGCCCCCAAAGGGAGGCATATTAAAATCGCACAGTCTGTCTGTACAAACCCAGAGGTACTTGTGTGACTTGGATAACAATGGGTAACAGTACATTTCCTTTGATCCTATTCATTTCATTTTTAATTGTGTGTCTTTTTTTAGGCCTTGTGACTAAAAATGGCTGAAAAGATCAAAGGAAAAGTCACATAAGTATCATTTCCTAAGTATGTCTGTCCGTCTGTTCCTCTGTTCGTCCCAACTTCATTAGTGTCCGGACTGTAACTTTGTCATATATCGAGGGATTTTGAAATAACTTGGCACAAATGTCTACCACAACAAGACAATGTGTCGCATCCAAGAACCATGTCCCTACATCAAAGGTCAAGGTCACACTATCATTTTGAAGTTTCACATTATCGCAATTAGAGTAAATAGGTACACACATTCGTGTCCGGACTGTAACTTTGTCATGCATCGAATGATTTTAAAATAACTAGGCATAAATGTCTACCACATCAAGACGATGTGTCACATTCAAGAACCACGTCCCTACCTCAAAGTTCATGTGGCGACTAAAACCCATGTCCCTACCTTTAAGGTCAAGATCACATTTATAGTTTGAAGTTACTCATTCTCTCAAGAATAGTTTGAAGATACACATTCATGTCCGGACTGTAACTTTGTCATGCATGAGAGGATTTTAAAATAACTTGGCGCAAATGTCTACCACATCAAGACAATGTCCCTGTGTCCCCACTTACACAACAATCATGTCCAGACTGTAACTTTGTCATGCATTGAAGGATTTTGAAATAACTTGGCTCAAATGTCTATCTCATAACAACATTCTGTCGGGCCCAGGAACCAGGTCCATTCTTCAAAGGTCAAGGTCACACTTATATTTTGAAGGTTCACACTATCACCATTAGAGATTACAGGTACAATAATACAAAGATCAATATTAAGCAATTAGTTACTTTCATTCTCTTTTCTTTTCATAATACCTGCATGCTTAAGAAACCTTTTCAGGGCATTTGTCACTTGGGTGACAGCTCTTGTTTAGACTTAGGAATAGACTTATAAAGTAAAAATGCCTTAAAAATCTTCTTCTCTGAAATTACAATGCTCAGAGCTTATTATTTTGCTTGTAGCATCACCTTTTGGTCTTCTACAAAAGCCCTGGGGTCATTTACTTTATCATCCCCCGCCAAAAGGTGGCGGGGGGGATATAGAAATGGTCTCCATCCATCCGTCCCTCCCTCCGTCATTTTTGTCCGAAGCTTATCTCAAAAAGTGTTAGAGATAGCAACTTGAGTAGGTGGATAGATCTCATTGAGGAGGAGTGCAGCACACAAGAATGATAATCTACCCTGCATTATTTTTCAGTTATTGCCCTTTGTTATTTTCCAAACTTAAATTTGTCCAGAGCAAAACTCAAAAAGCCTTTGAGATATCAACATGAAACTTCATGGGTTGATAGATCTCACTCAGGAGGTGTGCAGTGCACAAGAATGATAACTACCATTCATAATTTTTGAGCCTTTTGTTATTTTTCATACATAATTTTTCACCTGAGTGGATCATAACTCAAAAAGTCTTGCAGATGTCAACATGAAACCTCATAATGTGGATAGATCTTATTGAGGAGGAATGCTGTGTGCAAGAATGATAACTCTACCCTTTATAATTTTTGAGTTATTGCCCTTTGTTATTTTTCATACTTTTTGTCTGGAGCTTATCTCAAAAAGTGTTAGAGGTATCAACTTGAAACTTCATAGGTGGATAGATTTCATTGAGGAGGAGTGCAGTGCGCAAGAATGATAACCTTCCCTGCATTATTTTGCAGTTATTGCCCTTTGTTATTTTCAGCCATCAGTATTCACATTGGTTTCAAATCTGTAATCACTTCAGCCATCAGTTTTCATTACCAAAAGACCTCTTTAACTTGAATTATTCTGCTTTACTACATATACATTCTTCCAATCAGCAAACACATTCAGCGGGGGTTGGCCATGCTAACATGGCTCTTGTTTAGACTTGTATAGGAAAATACATTTTAGTCTTCTTTTGTGAAAAGTCCATGACCTTAGATATTTGGCATGTAACATTGCCAAATGGACAAAAATTGTAAAAGTCATGTCCCTGTGGCCAAAATTGGCTCCACCCTGGGGGTCACTTATTTTAATAATGCAGCCTGGGAAAAAATGACAAACCCAGTGTGACCTAATTACTGGCTCTTACCTTTTCTAGCAATGTATCAAAGGTAAGCAATCCAGGCTCATTATGGTCCTGTATGTATGTATATTCTTTTTATGTTTGGATACATATAATAAAATATTATTGAACTATGAACACATATGATAAAATATTATTGAACTAAAAGGAGAATACTAGATAGATACTGAAAGAATACTTGAAACTCGTGTATACAAAGATTATATATTGAAAGTGATCATATATTACAGTTTCATCCAACGATGAGGTGTATTACAAGATGCGAAATCAGCGTATGCTACGAGAGGAATTGAGGGACAAGAAAAAACAACTAGAGTCTATTATGAAAAAAGACAGAAATAAAAAACAGTATTACAAAAATCAGGATAACCAGAGTGATACAGTCTCCTACAGCACGGAAATGTTTGGGTATACTCATTGTATTTAGCATTCTTTGCTTGTTAATAGTTCTTGTCACCCCTACATTTGTTTATTTAATGTGTCTTTTCTTAACATCAGATGTTCTTTGAATATATTTGAACCTCAGGGTTTTAATACATTAAGGATAGGGAGACTTTCTTTTTGGTCTTCCACTTAGCCTTTCTTTCTTGACAACTTTAATCTTTTCTACAACATAAAGATACTATAATCATTAGTGTTTTGCAAACATATCTTGCTAACATTTAGAAACTTGCACAAATTAAAATGAAACATAAAATGAATCTTGTATTCTTGTTAGTTAGATAGATATTCAGAATTTTGATAAGTACATCTCTTTATTTCATAAATAGATAAAAAATTGTATGCATATAAAGGCCATTGTTTTACTTTTGGAATGTCAATGCATAAAAACTTATAGATTTGTAGAGCAGAAAAGTTAAAAAAAAAAGAATAGAAAGGTTTGAAACTTACATTTTTACATGAATTCAATTTTAAATTGTAAGAGAGTTTATAGGCTGATGCTAGTTTTGTTTTGAAAAGCTAAAATCCACGTGAATTCATGTCCACTTTCAAAAAAAGGCTGATTTGCAAATGTTGGTAAGTTGGAAATTTGCTTCATTTCCACTAAATAAAAAAGAGAACCATTTGACCTATAGTCTTCAAACTTTGAAGTCAAAAACCATTATTGTATGAAGGTTAAGGTCACAGTGACCTTTGTGAAAACACTCAATAGCATGAGAACACTTTGACCCATGGCCTTCACACTTACTAGGATGATCATGCTTATTTAGTAGAAGATGGCACTAATGTGTAAATGTCTAGGTTACAGTGACCTCCAATGTGAAAACCATTTTTGCTCAGTATTATAACTTTATAACCATTTGATCCATAACATTCAAACTTTATAGACTTATCACCCCTGTTGAGTTCAAGACCCCCATTATTTTTGGTGATCTTGACTATAAAAATTATTTCTGTTCAATAACTAGAGAACCTTTGACACATAGCCATGAAGGTTTTCTTTAACCCTTTACCACATATATACGCGAAACAACGCACTTTTGCCCCCCCCCCCCCCCTTTTTTTAGGCCTGAAATGGTGAAAAAAATGTCCTATTTTGGCCCCAAACATAAGTTTTTCGTTTGAGAAATGTTGCGTAAAAAATTGAGCACTTTTTCGGCACCGCCCCCCATCCAAAAGATACATCAGGGGGTTGCCAGAAGGGGGATGTGCCCCCTTCTGTTAGGGGGGTTTGAAGGGGGCGGAGTCCCCCTCATCGCCAAGAAAATTTTGGACTTGTGAGAGGCTAAAAATGACCCCAGGTCGATCATAATGTAACGTTTAACCAACGCTGAAAAGCCTTTGACTCTATCTCAATCCCTTGAGCAGTTGCAGCACTTTGAAATAAATTTTGATGGAAAAAATCGAGGCAAAATAGTGATTTTTGGCAATTTTGAGATGTCCCCTCGTTGCCATGGTAACAGGAAATTTAAGACTGAGCATGTCGTTACAAAGGCAATGGTCCAGTCAACATTTGTGCCAAGTTTGATTAGTACTGAAGCATTTTTCATAGTTTCATAGCAGTTTGAACTTGTAACAGGAGGCTTTTCAGTGAAAACGGCCATTTTTCACAATATGCTCATGGGGGAAAGGGTTAAACTTGTCTCAAATACTTAACAAAATAACATGATATGCAGAACCCCATCTGCAGCTGTGCCAATTCAATGTCAAGGTCCCTTTTTAATGTGAAATATATTTAACAATTTTGAATCTGCACCTCAAATCCTTAACCCTTTATGATTTTCTTAAAATTGGCTCAAATTTTCACATCAGCAAGGTGATTTGCAGAACTAACTAATGCTATGCTGCCTTAAGGTCAAGGTTGTATTACTCAAATGTTAACCAATAAATGGACTTGATCATAGAGGTGATTGGGGTATTGGCGCTCTTGTGGCAGCTCTAGTTGAAATCTTTTGTTGAAACATAAAGATTTTATTAAGAATTCTTACAGAATCAAGGAACTCTATTTAGTTAACTGCCTGCCAATATATGCAACAAATGAAAAAACAAAAGAAATGTCTGTGCAAGTATTTAATGTACTTTGAAGGTTTCATATAACAAAGTTTAAGCTACAAGTATGCTATAAACAAAGATTTTTATATAAGACAAAGAATGAATAGTATGATGACCTGGCTGAAGTGTTACTTATAACTGAGTTTACATCATACGTGAGCTTGTGACAGGTGAGGACCAGTATATTTGTCTAAGTATTTTAGGCTTTTATTGTGTATGTGTTTACTGTAAATATTTCCAGTATTGGAGCAAGTGTTGATCAAACAATGGCAACATGGGGAGGTTCTACTGTAGATAACCTGGAAAGTATTACAGAAGATGGTGCTGCACAAGATAATGATGACGATGATGATGAAGAAGATGATGATGGTATATTTTTGTAGTTTTTGTTTGGATTTTATCTGACCAGTACGAATGTGGCATGGTAATGAATGGGTTTTTTAGTTTAAAGTAAGCTGTCATGGGTTAGTTTAATAGCTCCTATTACAGCTGGTCTGGTCTGTTCATCTTGATTAACTTGTCTTTTCTGACAGATGCTTCTAGCATTTTAAAGTAATTAGTATAGAAATATATCATATCTATATTTTAAAAGTAAAGATTTTGAAGTGACAAGATATCTGTGGTTTATAACAATACTGCAGGAATGATAGTTTAGTATATTTGCAAGAACATATCTGTTTCAGGAACATGATAGTCATGATAAATTTTGCTGATAAAAGTTCAACACCAATAAGGTCAAAACATCAGTTTGCATAATTTCAGGCAGTTGCCTCTTGATGTTCATTCTTAAGTAAACTAATGTTTTGTGTTTTAAACCTGCAGTTTATAATGTTTAACAGTAGACACTGCACAAGCTTGTTTTATTATGCTACTTACCATACATATTTCAGGCTATTATCTCTGTATTTAGGAGGGTAAATGCAAATTATAATTGATAAAACATTATCTTTATGAATATTTATATTAAGCTTACCCAATAGATGGTATTCTTCAAGTTGAAGAGGAGGAAGAAGAGAACCAATCTGATAATGAGACATACACAATAGAAGATGATGTCAGACAGAGACGTAAAGCTCGTGCCATGGCCAAGTCAAGTAACCCTGACACTAACCCACGTAAAGGCAAAAGAAGTTTTCCTAGGCCTAGTAGACCTGCTGATACAAGACCAAAGGAAGCATGGACCGGACCTCCTGATTTCAATAAATGGTCAAGAAAAGGAAGGAAAAATAGACAAGAGGTAAAGAGCAGATAAAAAATTACATCTCTCATCTATCTTTTTGCAGACAACTTTTAACTTTGGTGGTCATAACATCTTCATTAATCATACTTGGACACAACATATTGTTGAAACAAACTGTCAGAACTACAAAGTATCATCTTAAGTGTGAACTTAGACTTATGGTTTGTGGATGTGTGATTTAACCATAAATGGCAAACTGGAATATAAACACCAGATTTTGTGATTATTTGTTTTCAATTGATTTCTTCTATATATAACCCCCCCCCCCCCCCCCCAAAAAAAAAAAAAAAAAAAAATAAAATAAATTAATAAAATATTGGCGTATAATGTTATGCACCTGGTCAATGCCCTGAGCTTAGATATTTGACCTGTAACACTACTTTTTGGACCACCAAACTGGTATTAATCATGCCCCTTGGGTTATAATTGGCCTCCCCCAGGGGTCATTTCGTTAATGTAGTTTTGTATAGACAAACACATGTCTTATTTGGTGAAACTACAATTTCCCTGAGTATAGAAATTTGACATGTTGGCCTGTACAAAGCTGTTATTTATCATGTCAATTTGTAGATATATGCAAAAGTTCTATTAATCATAACCCTCAGGTCAAAGTTGGCCATACCCTAGAGTAACTTGCGGTATGTAGATTAAGGTATAGGAAACCACATCTTATCATTTTGTGGATAAATACTATGCATCTATATTTGGCATATAGCATTGACTTGTAGACCTCTATAAAAGATTTATGAATTATGCTGACTAAGGATAAAAAATGCCTCGACCTTGGAGGCCAGTTATGGCCCTTCAATGAAAAAGGTGTTTTTAACCAGGTTTTCCGAAGGAAAAAACTGGTTATTAGATTGAGGTATGTCGGCGGGCGGGCGGATGGGCGGACGGGCGGGCGTAAACAATTTCTTCTGTGCGCAACTCCTCCTACATTTCTCAACGGATTTTGACCAAACTTTCACAGAAGCTTTGTCATCAAGTGCCCTGGCGCATATTGTCGGGGTTTTGCGATTAGATAATATTTGACCTAATTATGGCCCTTTGTTTTTTTTCCTTATATAAAATATATAGTGAACAATTTCTTCTGTGCGCAACTCCTCCTACATTTCTCAACGGATTTTGACCTAACTTTCTCAGAAGCTTTGTCATCAAGTGCCCTGTCACATATTGCCAGGGTTTTGCAATTGGTATATATTTGACCTAATTATGGCCCTTTGTTTTTTTTCCTTATATAGAATATATAGTGAACAATTTCTTCTGTGCGCAACTCCTCCTACATTTCTCAATGGATTTTGACCAAACTTTCTTAGAAGCTTTGTTATCAAGTGCCCTGGCACATATTGTCAGGGTTTTGTGATTGGATAATATTTGACTGAATTATGGCCCTTTGTATATTTTTTCCTTATACAGAATATATAGAGAACAATTTCTTCTGTGCTCAACTCCTCCTACATTTCTCAACGGATTTTTGACCAAACTTTCTTAGAAGCTTTGTTATCAAGTGCCTGGCACATATTGTCGGGGTTTTGTGATTGGATAATATTTGACCGAATTATGGCCCTTTGTATATTTTTTCCTTATACAGAATATATAGTGAACAATTTTTACAGTGCGCAACTTCTCCTACATTTCTCAATGGATTTTGACCAAACTTTCACAGAAGCTTTGTCATCAAGTGCCCTGGCGCTCACTAAATTCCCATGTTTCTTCCAAGACATCATTCAAGTATTTTTTTAAAATTGTGAACATACTTTTCTTGATATCGCACAAAACACCACACGCCAATATTGTTGACGAAAGAAAATGACAAGAGACGCAAAAATGCAAAAATAAAGCAAAAATAAAGTACTGTTTACCTTTCTAAAATATTTGGGGAAAAAAGGCGAATAGACAACATAAAATTTCTCAATCATTTTTGTTTGAGGAATATTAAAAAAGCCATAATTCCTCCTAAAAGTTCAATTAAAAACAAATGCCCCTTCATGACAAAGCTTCTGTGAAATATTTTGCTGAAAACCTGGTTGCATCGCATTGCGATGTTCCTTGTTTTATGTGTTGTCAGCTACACAGAAGCTTGTCTGGACTTCTCAAAAACTACTGTTGCAATTTCATCCAAACTTTACAGGAATTATCAGTACCAAGTCTAGTTGTGCATATCGTTGACTTCCTGTTTCAATGATTTTTGTCAAAGTTATGGCCCTTAGATTATTTTTATTTGTTAAGTTTGTCCAGTCTACATTTTCAGTGAAATTTTGCAGGATTGATCAGTAGGTGTGCATATTTCAGGGGTTTTCTAGACCGAGTTATGATTCTTGAATAAAAAAAACGTGTTTTGTCCTGTTAATGATTTTTGTGTCTCCTGCTACACAGTAGCTGCAGCATGCAATAGGTTATCATGAGGCAACACATGTGATCACTGATCGCTCTTGTTTGATTACCCAAACAAATTGCATTAAAGTGAATATTGCATTGCCCTACCTTAGCAATTAAGCAATTTTTAAGCCAAATTATTGGTTTTAGCAGAATTAACTTTTGAAGAATTTTAATGATTCTGATTAAATTTAACATGTATGTTTGTTATATCAAAACACAAAATATGCTTGCAGCAAAGGAGATTATGTCAGATTTTATTTTTACCATGACATAAGTCATCACCAGGATGCCTGCGGGACAGTCCTGGATGTCTGGGACATTATGACATGTATGATGTATTGCTGAGAGGTCAAGGTCTTTGGATTGCTATTAGGCCCAATGAGTCAAGGTCTTTGTTACTAAAAATAGGAAAGTTGTTTCTAGTCAATAACTGGAGTTAAGAATGAGATGTTGTTATCAAATTTGGAATATAGCAAGCTAATGTGGAGACATTTATTGGGATAGCTTTTTGGGCTCCTAGGCTCAAGGTCACTGTTACTAAACATAGAAAATTGTTTCTGGTGTGTTGACATGCCATGCTTGTTGATGAATTTGGCTTATACTTATTGACCAAAACATCTTGTTAAATAATTACAGTATGACCTTGACCCTTTTTCTTGAAATTCACTTTATAAAGTATTTTGTTAATAAGAAAAAGCTGAGAGTGTGGCCCACGTTTGCTGAGACTATTGTTTAAAACCTGGTTTCATGGCATTGCCATGTTTCTTGTTTTAACATATTTATTCTGTTTCTTTAGATTATCTTTTGCATAAAAATATTTGAGTTCAGTTGGTAATAATCACATTAACATCTTACCTAAGACACATTAAGCTTATCTTGGTGTGAGAAGGCTATATAGTCATTTTTCTGTTTTCATTATAGAATTATAGATCAGCAGAAGAGATAGTGCAAGAAGATGAGGAACCTGGGAATAAATCTGCTATGGAAGAACTTCAGAGGAAATTAGAGGAAACATCAATGTTATGTCAGTCCTTGCTTGGAGAAAACCAGTCTGGTCCTCTTCTAGGTCGACAGACAGCAGCAGGTATGTTGAGGTCTTTAACATGTTTAGTTGTATTTTCCAAGAGAATTTTTAATGCGTTAATTTAAGAAGTTAGCTCATAATTTAAATCAAGATATTAAATCAAAAATAAATCTTTTCTACATCCAGGATTTGGTAGCCATGGGCAGTTAGACTTACAACAACAACTTCAGCAGCAGCAGTTAATGATGAGTCTAAACCAGTGCTACCAGCAGATATCAATGCAACAGATGGAGATGCAAAACATGCAGCGGCAAATGCAAGCTCTAGTCTACCAACTTGCTGAGGGAGATGTCAACGAATCTGGGTTTTCGTCAGATCTTAGAGTGCGTTCCTTATCATCATTGTATAGTCCAATGATGCCTAGGCAGTCTCCTAGTGTATTTCTACCACCAGTTGGAGATGCATTTCAGTTTAATCCAGTCTATCAACATATGTCACCAACCAGTAACCCACTGTTGCGTCGTGCTGCTGATCCAGAGTCTGGTAACAGATCAGATGTAGCTGAAAGTCAAGACAGACAGAGAAGATCATCAAAGCAGTCAGGAAGGGATTCTTATTCTCAAAGAAGTAAAAAGAAATCAGTGAGCCCTCAACAGTTGAATAATGTATCATCAAGAAGGGCAAAGAATACCTCAGTACAAACATACACAGAGGCTGAGGAAGAAGAGGAGGAGGAAACAATGGTGTTTTCTTCTGAAAGAGAAACATTTGAAGACTATCTTTCTAGGAAAAGGAGGTATGATTTATCCTTTATCTCACTTGAGCACCATTTTCATGTAAGCAATAATTCCTTGCTTTTATCATCCATTGTGAATAAATCAATTAAATTACATCAAATTTGAAATCACTTTGTTAAAATTTTGCATGATTCTGGTAAACCTACATATTTATTTCACAGAAATTTCACTTGCAATATTTTCCAAAACTTCAAATAGAAGAGTTTGTTAATTGGTATGTATGTATCATTGCCTAAAAATGACTGATCAGATTAATTTCCTTTGATTTGTTCATTGAAAATTGAGTGTTTCTATTGGTTGTAGAGCCTTTTTATATCAATCAATACTTTAGATTTTTGTTATAATGGCGCTCTGCATGAATCTCTGCTTTTTACTGGGATCAAAGTTACTTTTCCACTTAGAGACAGATATATTATCAGAAATTATAGAAGTTGCAGTCCTCACTCAGATAAACAATTTAAGAGCCATAATGGCTGTCTTGGTTTGTTTTTTTCTAACCTGCACATTTATATTTGTTCCTTCAACTGTTATGTACATATTTAACATTTTGTCAGCAATTATTTGAGATTCTTTGTAAGCTTCTACAGTACGCTCAGCTTGGACTTTCATGATAACAGCGCAAACAATTTTTAGCTTGACTATTCGATAAGAATAAGTAGAGCTATTGTAGTCACCCACTTATGTTACAGATTTTGTAACACCTTAAATATTTTCAAAGTCCATTGACATATGGCTTTGAAACTTTGCACACTTGTTTCCCATCATGACCCCAGGTGAAGACAGGAAGAGGTAACTCTATCAAGCATTTTGACAGAATTATGCCCCTTTTTCGACTTAGAAAATACATTAAAGTTTTGTAACACCTCAAATATTTTCAAAGTCCATTGACATATAGCTTTGAAACTTTGCACACTTGTACACCATCATGACCCCAACCTGTAGTGGGAGGTAACTCTATCAAGTATTTTGACAGAATTATGCCCCTTTTTCAACTTAGAATGTACCTTAAAGTTTATGTAACACCTCAATTATTTACAAAGTCTATTGACATATGGCTTTGAAACTTTGCACATTTGTTCACCATTATGCCCCCCAATCTGTAGACAAGAGAAGGAAACTCCATTAAGCTTTTTGACAGAATAATTGCCCCTTTGCCGACAGCACTTGTTTCTATTGCGGACAAACTGATGAAAGTCTGTGATGAAAAGAATTATTCTCCCTGAGATCTGCAGTGTGCAGTTCTTGCCACCATGGACAAAAAAGCAATGACTGCATTTATATTATAATTAAAATCTGTCATCCTTTTTTCAAAGAACAAGTAAAGTTAAAAAAATATCTAACTATTTACATGAGTTTACGTCTGTGGACATGCTTTTATTTCAACATGATGACTGAAAAATGTATATGCATTTCTTGCATTTCTTTAAATTATTTTAGGTGATATTTTCAAAATCAGTTCTTCCTATGTAAAATGAATGTCGGCAGCATATACGCTGAAAACAGGTGTCACCAGTTTTCAAGGTCACTGATTAAGGTGTCAACATCACAAAATTAAAAATATTTGGTTTATACCGTTGTATACAGTTTTTAAAAACTTGTATGTTTTAATATAATTATCCATTCACCCATGAACACAGAATGTCAACAAAAAACTATTGCATTCCCATCGTTTTTACTTTTTCTGAAAAAGAAAAAAAAAAGAACAGCTAGCCACTTTTAAAATTGTTGACTATACACACATAAATATATGCATTATCACATCAACTTAAATAATCAGAAATACAGGGAAAAATACAGGTTACAATAGCTTTTAGCTAGCAGTAAGGGCCCATACCCTAGCTCTAGCCACCTCTTGACATCCAAAAACACCATGAAATGAAAAACTAAGAAAGGTTTAACCTTTTCCCTTATATAAGCGTGTTTCGACGACTTTTTGCCCCCCCCCCCTTTTTTGAGGCCTCAAACAGTGAAAAAATGCCCTATTTAGACCCCAAACACTGTTTTTCCTTTGAGAAATGTTGTTAAAAAAAGTGACCATTTTTTCGGCGCTGTCCCCCATCCAAATATTACATCAGGGGGTTGCCAGAAGGGGGATGTGCCCCCTTCTGTTTGGGGGGTTTCATCGCCAAGAAAATTTTGGACATGTGACAGGCTAAAAATGGCCTCAGGTCGATCTTGGGGTAACTAGTAACCGACGCTGAAAAGCCTTTTACTCTATCTCAATTCATTGAGAAGTTGCAGCACTTTGAAATCAGTTTTGATGGAAAAAAACGATGCAAAATAGTGATTTTTGGCAATTTGGAGACGTCCCCCCGTTGCCATGGTAACAGGAAATGTACCATTGGGCATGCTGTTACAGAGGCTATGGTGTAGTCAACATTTGTGCCAAGTTTCATTAGTATTGAAGCATTTTTCATAGTTTCATAGCAGTTTGAACTTGTTACAGGAGGCTTTTCAATGAAAACGGCCATTTTTAGCAATATGCTCATGGGGTAAAAGGTTAAGGAATATAAATGTGCGTTTCTTCTATGCTGCTGCACATGTAGCTCTAAAAGTGCTTGAGCTAGGGTCAACAAACTTTACATGATTGTTGATCAGTATGTGAAGTTGTGCACCTGGGGTTTTGCATGTGGATTAATATAGTTTTGTGAAAGTTATTAGCCTTGACTTAGTAAAAATTTTCAATTTGTATCGTGCATAGCTCAAACAGTACATGTATCTGACTAGAATCATGAAACCTTACAGGAATGTCAGTCAGCATGTGTAGTACTGCACCAAGGGGTTTGCTTGTGGATTTATTCAGTATTCAGTTATTGCCCTTGACTTAAGTAAAAAATGTTCCAAAATGTTGTGCCAAATGAACCTTAGTGCTTGAGCTAGAACCAACAAACCTGACAGAAATGTTGATTAGCATGTGAAGTTGAGCACCTAGGGTTTTTGTGTGGATTAATTCAGTTTTGTTAGAGTTATTGCCCTTACCTTAGTAAAAAATTTGCTATTTATATACTTGCTTGTTACTCAAAAAGTATTTGACCTGGAGTCACTAAACTTCACAGGACTGTTTGTCAGCATGTTGAGTTGTGCATCTGGGGTTTTGCTTGTTTCTTTAATTCTCTTTTAAGCATACTTTAGGATATAATATCAGATATGATTTGAAATTCTTGATATAAAATTGAGATTTGAAATGCTTGATATGGCAGAGGGGGGAATGTCAACTTTGGAAAAATTGGATGATGCTTTTATGTCTCAACCACTCAGGGGTAGGGAAAGTCATATAGAATTTTACTTTGTCAGTCTGTCATATTGTCTTGTTGAATGTCAGAAGACTAACAAAAGAGTAGAATGTTGGGGCATCCATGTACATTTGTTGACAAGTTTCATAAAATATTCACCATAAACATGACTTCTATATACAGCAGTTGTCCACTGCTTTCTCTTGCGATTTCCTGCAGTGTCCTGCGCGGGAAAGACTTACGACTGTAGATTATGTGTCCACTGTGGACAATGGGTCAGGTGGACAATTTTTGAGGAAATTTTTGTCCACAGTGAGTCTCATCTGCAGGATCCAGTGGATTTTGCAAAAACAGCGCTGAGTGTACTGTACATTGTTATTACTTAAAAAGTTTGTAACATGTATTCTATTTAAACTTTTTTCAGAGAGTTTTTAGAAAGAAATAATTTACAGGATAGATCTCAAAGGCAGACTAAAGACACAGGTATGCAAAGTTAATGATTTTATTTCCACTGAAAGGGGGGAGGAATACGGGATACAATTAAGGTTTTTGTGTCGCCTTGAAAAAGGCGACATAGGGGTTACTTTTGTCGGCGGCGTCGTTGTCGGTGTCGGCATCCCCTTAAGCTTGTCCGGAGCATAAGTCAGTCATTATAAATTGGATTGACTTCAAACTTGGTATGCATGCTTCTTATAATGACCCGAAGTGCAATGCACAAGAACCGGTACTCTGCACTTCTTATTTTTTGAGTTATTGCCCTTTGTTAATTTTCATACTTCATTTGTGTCATTTCTCCTAAAGTATCAAATCTATGGACTTGAAACTTCATAGGATGATAGATCTCATTAAGAAGAAGTGCAGTGCACAAGAACTGGTACTCTGCATTTCTTATTTTTTGAGTTATTGCCCTTTGTTAATTTTCATACTTTATTTTCGTCCAGGCCATGTCTCCTAAAGTATAAAAGCTATGGACTTGAAACTTTATAGGATGATAGATCTCATTAAGAAGAAGTGCAGTGCACAAGAACTGGTACTCTGCAGTTCTTATTTTTTGAGTTATTGCCCTTTGTTAATTTTCATACTTTATTTTTGTCAGGGCCATTTCTCCTAAAGTATAAAAGCTATGGACTTGAAACTTTATAGGATGATAGATCTCATTAAGAAGAAGTGCAGTGCAAGAACTGGTACTCTGCAGTTCTTATTTTTTGAGTTATTGCCCTTTGTTAATTTTCATACTTTATTTTTGTCCGGGCCATTTCTCCTAAAGTATAAAAGCTATGGACATGAAACTTCATAGGATGATAGATCTCATTAAGAAGAAGTGCAGTGCCCTAGAACTGGAACTCTGCGTTTCTTATTTTTTGAGTTATTGCCCTTTGTTAATTTTCATACTTTATTTTTGTCCGTGGCCAGTTCTGCTAAAGTATAAAAGCTATGGATATGAAACTTCATAGGATGAGAGATCTCATTAAGAAGAAGTGCAGTGCCAAAGAACTGGTACTCTGCATTTTTTATTTTTTGAGTTATTGCCCTTTGTTAATTTTCATACTTTATTTTTGTCCAGGCCATTTCTCATAAATTATGAAAGCTTTAGACTTGAAACTTATTATCTTATTGATAAGAAGTGCAGTGCACAGAAACTGCTGCTCTGCATTTCTTATTTTTTGAGTTATTGCCCTTTGTTGATTTTCAAATTTCATTTTTGTCCTGGCCATTTCTCCTATACTATATTGTTCACAAGGCAACACATCCGACTCGCAGAGTTCTAGTTTGTAAAACAGCTTTATTCAAAAAGCAAAATTTCTTTTACATATTAACCACTTTGGGGAAATAAGGCCCGGTAGTCCTAGACTAATAGAATTACACTAAATTTCCTTCATCACAAATGTATGGACTTTAAAAAGCGTAAAGTAAATATTAATCAAGATGCTGCAGAAGTGTTTGTAAATTGTTATGCCACCGCAGCATCTGAGATGCGGTGGTATATAGCGATTCACCTGTGTGTGTGTGTGTGTTTGTTTGTATGTGTGTTATATAGATTATATAGTGAACTTAAAAAAATCTTCTTATAAAAAACCACTAGTCCAATTTTAACCAAACTTGGCAGGATTGATCCTTGGGTGAAGGGCTTTCAAAGTTGTTCAAAGAATTTCATTCCATGCAGAAATCTGGTTGCCATGGCAACCAAAATGAATTATAAGAACAAATTAAAAAAATCTTCTTGTAAAGACCCGAAAGGCCTAGAGCTTAGATATTTTGCATAAGGCATTGTCTGGTAGACCTCTACCAAGATTGTTCAAATTATAGCCCTGGGGTCAAAATTGGCCCTGCCCCGGGGGTCATTGATTTTCACTATATGTACATATAGTAAATACTTAATTACCTTCTTGTCTGGAGGTACAAGGCTTAGAGGTTTGATATTTGGTATATGATATCATCTATAGGTTCTCTACCAAAGTTGATAAAATTTTGCCTCTAGTGTCAAAATAAGCCCCGATGGGGTCATAGGTTTTCCTTATACGTATATAGTAAAACTTAGAAAAAATATCTTCTCGAAACTGACAAATGCTAGAGGTTAGATATTTTGCATGAAACATTGTGTAGTGAACCTCTAGCAAGATTGTTCAATTTATAGCCCTGGGGTCAAAATTGGCCCCGCCCTGGGGGGTCATTGATTTTCACTATGTACATATAGTAAAAAATCAAAAATTCTTATTGTCTGAAGGTACAAGGCTTAGAGCTTTGACATTTGTTATATGATATCATCTATAGGTACTCTACTAAAGTTGTTCAAATTTTGCCACAGTGTCAAAATTAGCCCCTCGGGTCATAGGTTTTCCTTATATGTATATAGTAAAAACTTAAAAAATTGTCTTCTCAAAATTGACAAATGCTAGAGGATAGATATTTTGCATGAAACATTGTGTAGCAAACCTCTAGCAAGATTGTACAAATTATAGTCCTGGGGTCAGTATTGGCCCCACCCTGGGGGTCATTGATTTTCACTATGTACATATAGTAAAAAAATAAAAAATCTTATTGTCTGAAGGTACAAGGCTTAGAGCTTTGGGTAATGAACCTCTACTTAGATTGTTCATATTATAGCACTGGGGTCAAAATTGCACAAATCATGTGCACATATTAAGATGTAAAGTGACTTTTGATATCAGCTGGCATAGATTTTGACAAAGTGTCTTACTGTGTTGTCTTTTGATGTACAGTCATGGAATTTTGGCCATGTGAAATATGACCTTCACCACCAAATTCAATAGACTCAACTGCATTGATAGATTCCTACTCTGATCTTTTATTTGAATAACAATAGTTTTAACCACTAATCTGATAATAAGAATTAGAAAGGTCAGTGATCTTTGCATTATGAATTGTATAGAAACAAAAAAATTCTGTTCCTACATTACTATTTATTATTGTATTAATGTGGTGGCATAGCATTTTTATGCCCCCGCCATATAATGGCCGGGGCATATAGTGTTACCCTGTTCCGTCATTCCGTCATTCTGTCATTCCGTCATCATCAGTTTCCGTTCATTATCTTAGTAACGGTTTCACATATTCAACTCAAATTTGACATATGGATATGTCATGAGAAAATACAGGTCAAGTACGAATTTGGTCATGGTTTAATGACTTTTGGCAGAGTTATGCCCCTTTCACTTTGAAAATAATATGAAATTTTCAGTTTCCGTTCATTATCTCCCCAACGGTACAACACATTCAACTCAAATTTGACATATGGATATGTCATAAGAAAATACAGGCCAAGTTCGAATTTGGTCATGGTTCGATGATTTTTGGCAGAGTTATGCCCCTTTTACTTTGAAAATAATATGAAATTTTCAGTTTCTGTTCATTATCTCCCCAACGGTACAACACATTCAACTCAAACTTGACATATGGATATGTCATGAGAAAATACGGGCCATGTTGGAATTTGGTCATGGTTCGATGATTTTTGGCAGAGTTATGCCCCTTTTACTTTGAAAATAATATGAAATTTTCAATTTCCGTTCATTATCTCCCTAACGGTACAACACATTCAACTCAAACTTGACATATGGATACGTCAAAGGAATGTGCAGGTCAAGTTCAAATTTGGTCATGGTTCAATGATTTTTGGCAGAGTTATGCCCCTTTCACTTTGAAAATAATATGAAATTTTCAGTTTCCGTTTATTATCTCCCCAACAGTATTACACATTCAACTCAAATTTGACATATGGATATGTTTTTGGAATGCCCAGGCCAAGTTCGAATTTGGTCATGGTTCAATGATTTTTGGCAGAGTTATGCCCCTTTTACTTTGAAAATAATATGAAATTTACAGTTTCTGTTCATTATCTACCCAACAGTGTTACATATTCAACTCAAATTTGACATATAGATATGTCAAAGGAATGCGAAGGTCAAGTTGGAATTTGGTCATGGTTCGATGATTTTTTGGCAGAGTTATGTCCCTTTCACTTAATAATATAGATACATCTTAGGAATAAGCAGTTTAAGTTTGAATTTGGTCGTGGTTCAATGATTTTGGACAAACTTAACTTTCCTGAATCTTGGAAAAATTTTGAACTTTCAGTTTCAGCACGCGTACTTTTGTGGAAATGTATGTAGCCATTATTTTGGCTACAAATATGCAATATGCTTTTTTCAAAAGGTTAAGACTGAATAATTTCAGTGCCTTGAACATTGTATGAAAATGGTTTGTGTTAACATTGAAAAGTTTTAAGGGCTTTGAACTTAAAATGAAAAAAATAATTTGTGCAAACAATTTTGGAACTAAATATTATAACATCTGAAATTTTGGCTGCATGCGGGGGCATCAGTGGCATGATGACACATTTCTAGTTCACAAATGCAATCTTGTTTTCTTACATGTGTTAAACATTTTATTCAGTGATGGATATCCATTAATTGATTATGCTTGGTTTTGTTGTTGTTGTTGGTTGGTCTTCAGTTAATAAATAAGTTTTGTTAATATAATCTTTTGACAGTCATCAAGAAAACAGGAAAATTCTAGAATGAATTTATATATTTAGGTACAAAAAGAGGCAGTAAATCAAAGTCATCAAGTAGTGACAAGGAGGTGTATAGGCCTGGGTTGAGTGCAGGGATAAGTGGAGCAGGGTATGCTGAAGATGGGCGGAGCATTACAAGTAGTATACAGTCTAGTGTTGCTGCAGTGTCTCAAGCTAATCAAGCAGAAATGAGAGAATCTACAAGGTAAAACACTCTTATGTCATGCTTTTATAGAAGTGATAATCACAAATGAATTGTGTTTTATTTTTAAAGCTTTTTGACACCTGATCTCCCCTCGGGCATTTTACATTTTCTTTTTTGGAAAGGGTGCATTACCAAGTTTGAGAAATTTGGTATATAGTAAAATTGCTTAATTGGGGAAAATAGTCATTTCACTGATTGTTTAATTTATGATCTTGGAGTCAAAATTTATGCTGCTCAGCATACCATCCAAGTTGATTAGGAAAAGCTTTCAGTAAGAGATGAGGTATTTAGGACAGTTTGACCAAGTGAACCTCTTTTGTTGTTCTTAAAGTTATTGCCAAGGAATAAAATAAACCCAAGCATTGGGTGTTATATGAATTTGGAGTTGCACAAAAAAAAATCAAATAATCACAAGGCCTTGAATATTTTAGATGAAGAATTACTAGTGGAGGTATTTCAAGCCCATTTCAAGTCTTTTGGTTTGTTAAAGACTTTTTCATAGAGTAAGAGGAAAGTTCATTGACTCATATCTTGGCTTGAAGATTTTTACAGTACTTACATGTGACTTTAAAAGGCCTTCTTGATCACCAAAGATAGAACTTTTGGACTTCTATACATGTATGTTAAAAAACACTTTTATAAAAGTTTTTTGTTTTTTTAGGGTAAACATTGATTGTTCATTTTTTTACTATGTTACTTTTATGAATATCAGAGATACAGAAGATCCTATGGAGATGTCATTGTTTGAGACTTTGCGGGAAAACATTTATTCTGAGGTAGCCACGTTAATATCTCAGAATGAGAATCGCCCTCACTACCTGATAGAGTTATTTCGAGAACTCCAATTATTGACCACAGACTATCTAAGACAGAGAGTGCTGTATGATATTAAAGATGTTGTCTCAAAATATCTAGTAGAGGAGAATTCTGTTTCTGCTGTAAGTCTTTCAACTGTTCTTGAGTTTGTGTAATGATTTTGTATTATGATAATGAAAGCATATCTTATATAAGTTCTACCCAATACCATGTATAGTCATAAAATGTACAAATAATTATAAACAACAGTTACAAGCATAAGTCAATGTGCCTTAGACTAGATTAGGAGTTATAACTGTAAAATTGGAAATTAGAAATGAGATCTCTCTATGAAAGCTTATTTAGTTTTGTTGTTTTCTTGCCAATACTATTTTACAAAGAAAGGTTACTTAGCTATAGCAGGATTTGCTTTTTGCCTTAGTTTGCATTTTATTTGGTAATAAAAAAAAGAAAACAAACAAAAAACTTAAAACACTGAAGTTAATTAAAAGACTTCAACTTAATCTATATAAGTCACATTTTAAGAACTCTAATTAAATTGCTTTTAACAACATATATTTGTATGTATTGTTAAAAGGATAAAATTTATTAACTGATGAGATTTTAATGAAATTTCTCATTACACATGATACTATAGCCACCACCACCATGGTTGAATACAGTCAGTGGTAATTTCACCAATGCAGAGCTAACACCAAGTGAGAGTAACGTAACTACGGATGACGAGGAAATCAAGGTGAATTATTGTTTCTTTTTATGTCATTGCACTTCATATTAATTTGACTATTGATTTGATGAAACTAATTTCACCAAAATTACACTAGTCATTCATTTTGACTTCCTAATTAAAATTTTAAAGTTACATTATGCCCATCCAAAGGTGTATAGTGTGTGAAGCAGGAAAAGTCTAAATAAGTTCACATTTAGACATAATTCCTTCCAGTTTTTATAATTTACTTTGCATAAACTATAAATAACTTGGGTGGCCCTAAAAGAAAATATGTAAATAACGATCTAAATTTACCAGAAACTTTCTATTTACAAAAAGAGTGGGGCATGCATGCATTGTCTGTCTGTCTTTCCTATTTTTATTCCAACAGAATACTAACATGTGTGGCTGTGTGACATAAAAGATTATCATTTCAGTACCTGTTACAGACAAAATTAAAAATGAAAGTAGCTGCTAACCTTGTTGCTAAGGAACGACAGAAGACATCACAGTTGATACGAACTGGTTCACTGAAGAATGACAAATATGATTATCAGGAACCGGCTGAGATTGATAGCTCAGTCTCAACACCTTCTAACTCTTTTTGGGACAACCCCTTCAACTCAGACTCTTTAGGAGAAACAGTTATACATTTGGATAAGGTAATCATTCATCCTTTGTTGTGGACATATTTGTCTTTTTTAATGAAATTTATAAGTATTGCAATTAATTGACCACTTCATTTTAGAAAGTTAATTTAAGCTTGTTTCTCTAGTTAGAGAAACAGTTGTCTAGTTGTTGAACTCTAGTTAATAGCTTGATTGAGATTTGTTAACTAAAATTATTATAAAGTCCCCAAAACATGTAATATGTCTTTGATATTTGTTTTACTAGTTCTGTTTAATGAATTTTAGACATTAGAAAAAATGAAAGAGTATGAAAAGAGACTAGCTGCAAAGAATGAGAAGGTGAAAACTGCAGGTGAGTCACAAACAGCAGACATGAATGAGGTGAGCAGCTCGGCCATGGACCAGGGAGATGAGAGCTCTGTTAACTCTGATTCTGTGCCAGTAAGTGCAACAACTATTATAGTATATTTTATGTTTAGGAAGTTTAAATACCAAAGGTAAAGGAAACTAAGTGAATGAAACAATTAAGGTGAATAGGTTCTGAACATAAGTGGTGAGAGAAATGACTATAACTAAGAAAAAAATCATTAATGTTTTCATTGCTCTCTCTCTTACATATTTCTTTGTTTTTATGCCCCCGCCATGTAATGGCCGGGGCATATAGTGTTACCCTGTTCCGTCCTTCCGTCATTCCGTCCTTCCGTCCTTCCGTCATTCCGTCCTTCCGTCATTCTGTCATTCCGTCATCATCAGTTTCCGTTCATTATCTTAGTAACGGTTGCACATATTCAACTCAAATTTGGCATATGGATATGTCATGAGAAAATACAGGTCAAGTTCGAATTTGGTCATGGTTCGATGATTTTTGGCAGAGTTATGCCCCTTTTACTTTGAAAATAATATGAAATTTTCAGTTTCCGTTCATTATCTCCCCAACGGTACAACACATTCAAATCAAATTTGACATATGGATATGTCATGAGAAAATACAGGTCATGTTCGAATTTGGTCATGGTTCGATGATTTTTGGCAGAGTTATGCCCCTTTTACTTTGAAAATAATATGAAATTTTCAGTTTCCGTTCATTATCTCCCCAACGGTACAACACATTCAACTCAAATTTCACATATGGATATGTCATGAGAAAATACAGGTCAAGTTTGAATTTGGTCATGGTTTGATGATTTTTGGCAGAGTTATGCTCCTTTTACTTTGAAAATAATATGAAATTTTCAGTTTCTGTTTATTATCTCCCCAACAGTACAACACATTCAACTCAAATTTCACATATGGATATGTCATGAGAAAATACAGGTCAAGTTTGAATTTGGTCATGGTTCGATGATTTTTGGCAGAGTTATGCCCCTTTTACTTTGAAAATAATATGAAATTTTCAGTTTCCGTTTATTATCTCCCCAACAGTACAACACATTCAACTCAAATTTCACATATGGATATGTTTTTGGAATGCCCAGGCCAAGTTCGAATTTGGTCATGGTTCAATGATTTTTGGCAGAGTAATGCCCCTTTCACTTTGAAAATAATATGAAATTTACAGTTTCTGTTCATTATCTACCCAACAGTGTTACATATTCAACTCAAATTTGACATATGGATATGTCAAAGGAATGGGCAGGTCAAGTTGGAATTTGGTCATGGTTCGATGATTTTTTGGCAGAGTTATGTCCCTTTCACTTTGAAAATAATATAGATACATCTTAGGAATAAGCAGTTTAAGTTTGAATTTGGTCATGGTTCAATGATTTTGGACAAACTTATCTTTCTTGAATATTGGAAAAAATTTGAACTTTCAGTTTCAGCACTCATACTTTTGTGGAAATGTATGTAGCCATTATTTTGGCTACAAATATGAAATATGCTATTTTCAAAAGGTTAAGACTGAATAATTTCAGTGCCTTGAACATTGTATGAAAATGGTTTGTGTAAACGTTGAAAAGTTTTAAGGGCTTTGAACTTAAAATGAAAACAATAATTTGTGCAAACAAATTTGGAACTAAATATTATAACATCTGAAATTTTGGCTGCATGCGGGGGCATCCGTGGCATGATGACACATTTCTAGTTTATGTGTAAAGTATTTTATTTTAATAATTTTTTCTAAAATTTTGTGTCACACGTATGTTTACTCAATTTATATGTCATCACATAAAGTTCAGTTTAAAAAGAAGATTTTATAAGATAATTTAAGATGTTTTGTATGGGAAAGGTATAAATAAGTAAATTTAATATTGTGCATAATGAGAAAAGAAAAAATCTGCCCTTTATGTATATTTTAGTACCCTAGAATAGATACCCAACAACTAGACCAGCAGATCAAGTCCATCATGACTGAAGTTATACCAGTGATTAAGGAGCATATGGACAACATGTGTTCTCCCCAGCTTCTAGCTTACATCAAGAGACTTGTTCTATCTCTCACCAGACAATATGACAGTGGTGAGGAGTTTGCCAGATTCTTCCATAGACAACTTGGCTCAATTCTACAAGATACACTCGCAAAATATGAAGGAAGAAAGTACGTAACTTAGTTAACATTGATATAATATAGTAAAACACTTGTAAATCTTTACTAAGTCTACCTATATGGGACCAGAACAGTCTTCTACAAAATAGTATGAATCACACACAAACACACTGAGAGACTTGTATGGAAGACATTCAACTAAAATGCCTAGAGTCCATATATTTGACATGTATAGCTTTGCCTAGTAGACTTTTACAAAAGAATTTCAAATTATGCCCATGGAGAGACTTGTATTTTACATAGATTTTTATAAAAACACAATTAAATCTTCTTTGAACTGACAATGATAAATGGTGTTTTGAACCAATGATGTGAACAATATTTATACTGGTGAATGGTGCAGACTCATCTTTTGTATAGATGTGTAAAATATGCAAAGTGTATAACATCTGTCATAAAGAGAATTCAATTTTAAAACTGGCATAGAGTGGTATAGAGGTTTTGTGAATAGTTTAGAAGCTTTATTATACCCCCAAAAACGAAGTTTGGGGGGGTATATAGGAGTCACCCGGTGGTCGGTCGGTCGGTCGGTCGGTCGGTCGGTCGGTTGGTCGGTCGGTCGGTCCAGACGTCCGTTGCATTTTCCTTGTCCGGAGCATAACTTGAAAACTTATGGTTGGAATTCAATATAACTACATACAATGGTCAAGCACATTGAGAGGAAGTGCAGTGCACAAGAACCATAACTCTATCTTGACTAATTACAGAGTTATTGCCCTTTGTTACTTTTCCTTGTCCGGGGCATAACTTGAAAACTACTGGTTGGAATTCAAAACAACTTCATACAATTGTCAAACACAATAAGCGGAAGTGCAGTGCACAAGAACCATAACTCTATCTAAAGTAATTACAGAGTTATTGCCCTTTGTTGCTTTTCCATTGCTTTTTTTTTTGTCCGTTGCATTTTCCTTGTCCGGAGCATAACTTGAAGACTAATGGTTGGAATTCAATATAACTACATACAATGGTCAAGCACATTGAGAGGAAGTGCAGTGCATATGAAACATAACTCTATCTTGACTAATTACAGAGTTATTGCCCTTTGTTACTTTTCCTTGTTTGTGGCATAACTTGAAAACTACTGGTTGGAATTCAAAACAACTTCATACAATTGTCAAACACAATAAGGGGAAGTGCAGTGCACAAGAACCATAACTCTATCTAAAGTATTTACAGAGTTTTTGCCCTTTGTTGCTTTTCCATTGCCTTCTTTTTTTTGTCCGGACCATAACTTGAAGACTAATGGTTGGAATTCAATATAACTACATACAATGGTCAAGCACATTGAGAGGAAGTGCAGTGCATAAGAACCATAACTCTATCTAAAGTAATTACAGAGTTATTGCCCTTTATTACTTTTCCATTGCTTTCTTTTGTCCAGACCATAACTTGAAGACTAATTGTTGGAATTCATTATATAACTTCATACAATGGTCCAGCACATTGAGAGGAAGTGCAGTGCACAAGAACCATAACTCCATCTTGACTTATTACAGAGTTACTGCCCTTTGTTTCTTTTCCTTGTCCAGAGCATGACTTTAAAACTACTGGTTGGAATTCAAAACAACTTCATACAATGGTCAAGCACAATAAGGGGAAGTGCAGTGCACAAGAACTATAACTCCATCTTGACTAATTACAGAGTTATTGCCCTTTGTTACTTTTCCTTGTCCAGAGCATAACTTGAAAACTACTGTTTAGAATTCAGTACATCTTCACACAGTTGTCAAGGACATTAAAAGGAAGTGCAGTAATACAGAGTTACTGCCCTTTGATATGTTTCCTTGTCCGGAGCATAACTTAAAACGTACTGGTTGGAATTCAAAACAACTTCATTCAATGGTCAAGCACAATAAGAGAAAGTGCAGTGCACAAGAACTATAACTCTATCTTCAGTATTTATAGAGTTATTGCCCTTTGTTCTTTTTCTTTGTCTTTCTGGACTTATTACAGAGTAATTAAATTAAACTTCATCAATGGCCAACCACATTGAAAGGAAATGCAACATACATGAACCACAATTATCTTTAATTGCCCACAACCATAACTCTATGTTTCAATTCTTTTACAAGGTATTCTGTTACTAGTAACATCCTCATTTCTGAAGCAGACTTGTGGGGGTATTAATCACATTTAGTGATAGTTCTAGTTGAAAATAAATTGATAACAACATTCCTTTTTACTGCTCATCAAAAATATCTGTAATTGTTGCATCTGATGCTGGACTAGCTGGACTAAGTGATGTTAGTGTAGGAATATCATCAGACCTGTTTGTAATCTCATAATGTGCAGTTACCATATGATAATATTCCAAAGGTACTTCAACATTTACATTAAGCAATTTGTTTTCATAGAAATACACCTTTACCCTGTCTATCAGTAACCTCAAAAAATCCAGTAAATAAAATGGTAAAACAATGTCTATATCTTCCTCTTCAAATATTCTGATTATAATATCCTTCAACACAGAAGAACAAAAAAATGATCTGTTTTCCAAAAGTAGAATCAATAGGGATTTTTAAATGATCTTGTTCAGCTAGTGAATAACTTTCATCAATTTAAAGAATTTTTTATCAATTAGTAAACTCAAAATATATATTTTTTCTCACACTTTCCATTTATTTTATAAGAATTTACACATTTCATGAAATCCATTGTTTTTGGCTAATTGCATCATTTTCCCGCTTTTTTGTATTCACACATTTTATAGAAACATGATAGTCTTAATAAAAATAGGTATAAATTCTGGGCAATCTTAATTAGACATTTCAGTGTAAAACGAGCCTGATAATATATTGAAAGGGCCATTTATTTAGCTTATCTAAATGTGACATTTAAGAAACTTTGATAGGTGTAGACACGGCCTAACACACTAGCCTTTGTGTCAGATAAATACCAAAGCTGAGTCATGTTTACAAATATTTGAAACATCGAATATAATTATCTTTTCTTAATTTATGACCTCATGTGCAAAGTAGTTTATATACCAGATTAACATATGGGCTGTTTTCATATATGCATATGTATTATTATACCCCCACAAACGAAGTTTAGGGGGGGGGGGGGTATATAGGAGTCAGCTTGTCGGTCCGTCGGTCGGTCCACATCATGGTTTCCGGACTATAACTAGAGTTTGGAATGAGGTATTGTAATCAAACTTGGTATATAGCAACCTTATGTGGCAACTCCGGTTGGTATTGCATTTGGACCCACTGGGGTCAAGGTCAAGGTCGCCGTTACTAAAAATAGAAAAATGGTTTCCGGACAATAACTAGAGTTAGGAATGAGATATTGTTATCAAACTTGGTGTATAGCAAGCTTATATGAAGACCTGGGTTGGTATTGCATTTGGACCCCCTGGGGTCAAGGTCACCGTTACTAAAAATAGAAAATGGTTTCCGGATAATAACTAGAGTTAGGAATGAGATATTGTTATCAAACTTGGTGTATAGCAAGCTTATATGAAGACCTGGGTTGGTATTGCATTTGGACCCCCTGGGGTCAAGGTCAAGGTCACCGTTATTAAAAATAGAAAAATGGTTTCCGAACAATAAGTACAGTTAGGAATGAGATATTGTTATCAAACTTGGTGTATAGCAAGCTTATAAAATTATGAAGACCTGGGTTGGTATTGCATTTGGACTCCTTGGGGTCAAGGTCACCGATACTAAAAATAGAAAAATGGTTTTCGTACAAAAACTTGAGTTAGGAATGAGATATTGTAATCAAACTTGGTGTATAGCAAGCTTATATGAAGACCTGGGTTGGTATTGCATTTGGACCCATTAGGGTCAAGGTCACCCTTACAGTGTTACTAAAAATAGAAAAATGGTTTCTGGACAATAACTAGAGTTAGGAATGAGATATTGTAAATAAACTTTGTGAAAAGCAAGCTTATTTGGAGACCCCAGTTGGGATTACAATTAATTGAAATATTTCTTTGTACACAGTTGATAGTTTGTGTTCAAATTTTTCTTCAGACTACTTATTTTTCAAAAAGTCAAAGTTGCTGGTGGGGGTATTAATCACCTTCAGTGATAGGTCTAGTTCATTTTATTTTTATGATTTTCAGAATGCGAGAATGTGGTGAAGATTTATTGGTTGACATGTCTGAAGTTCTGTTTAATGAACTAGCATTCTTTAGGTTGATGCAAGATCTAGATGATCCTCTTATAGCTGAGAAAATGAAGAAAGCTGATGCTATATCTGACTCGGAAGGGGTAAAAATTGAATATATTTATAGTGCCAATAGTATGTGTAATATGTGTGTATGTTTGTAAATTGTTGATTTTTACTCACATCCACAGTCCATCTGAGTAGAAAAAGGTTATGATGAAATAAGCATCAATCTGATAATTATGTGCAAACATCGAATCAGTTAAATATGACAAGATTTGCAATCTCGTTTTACAGACAAAATATTGAGAGTTTTGCAGGGTAGAACTTGTAGTATTATTTACAGTAGTATTGTTTGTCAGCTGTTTTTATACAGACTGAAATAGTATATTCAATGTGTAGTTAAAAAGTTAATTTTCTATTAATTGCATTAGTTTTAAACTTAAATTTTGTTCTTCAGTTCTGTTATTATATAAAGTACTGATTATAATATAGGATACAGGTAGAGATATAGACAAGGAAGATGATGATGAGAACAGTGATTCTGATGATGAATCTGATACAACAGAAACTACAGCTAATGCTAGTGATAACCAGGATGATACTAGACCAACACAAACTGAAGAAGAAGATCTCGGGAAGGTTGGCTAATTTGTGGCACAACTTAAATTTTAGATAGCTGCTTTCAAGGCTCCCCAAGCTATGAGTTGAAAAGTTTTAAGATAATTTCTATGATTACTAGACTTTGTATACAATTTTGTTGGATGATCCTCTCAAGTTTGTTTACATATACTTGCCTTTACCCCATACAAGAGTTACTGAAGCTTTAAGTTGATCATATATAACTAAATACACCGAATGGGTCATTTATTAATAAAAGTTAGTGTTCAGTATTATTTGGTGGTTTCCATTAAGTTTAAACACGGTCCCAATATCTGCAATTTGAAAAATAAGAAAAAGTATTGAGAAATTATTCTTGATAAAAGCAATAAGATATAAGAATTTTTTTTTTTTTTTTTTTTTTTTTTTTTTTTTTAAGTAAAATGAAATATTTTGAAAAAGTATAATTATGCACCCCTTCGAAGAATTATATATATATATTGGGTATATTGTTTTGCTAATATTGGTCTGTCTGTCGGTGGACCACATGGTTTCTGCTGATAATCTTGAAAACTATTTATCACAAGTCTTCATATTTGATTGGTCATAACTAGTAGATGACCGTTATTGCTTTTGGGGTCACTAGGTCTAAGGTCAAGGTCACAGGGGTTTTAAATGTCAAAATGGTTTCCCATCATTATCTTGGAAAGTATTTATTACAGAGTCAACATATTTCACATATTGATTGATCATAACTAGTAGATGACCCCTATTGATTTTGGTTTCATTAGGTCAAGGTCACAGGGGCCTTGAATGGTAATATGATTTCCACTTATTATCTTGGTTACTATTTATCACAAAGTCTTCATATTTCACATATTGATTGGTCATGACTAGTAGATGACCCCTATTGATTTTGGTGTCATTAGGTCAAAGGTCAAGGTCACAGGGGCCTTGAATGGTAATATGATTTCTTGGTTACTATTTATCACAAAGTCTTCATATTTCACATATTGATTGGTCATAACTAGTAGATGACCCCTATTGATTTTGGGGTCACAGGTCACAGGGGCCTGAAATGTTGGAATAGTTTCCACTCATTATATTGGTCATGGCTTCATATTTCACATATTGATTGGTCATAATTAGTAGGTGATCCCTATTTATTCTTGGGTCACTAGGTCAAAGTTCAAGGTCACGTGGCACGTGGGCCTTGAATGGTAATATGATTTCCGCTTATTATCTTCATTACTATTTATAACAAAGTCTTCATATTTCACATATTGATTGGTCATAACTATTAGATGACCCCTATTGATTTTGGGTCACTAGTTCAAAGGTCTAGGTCAATGGGGCCTTAAATGTCTAATTGTCTTGTTTAATATTTAACACAAAGTCTTCATTATTTTTCTTTTTTCCATAATTGAACACTTCCATGTACCCATTTATGGCAAGTTTCTATAACAAAATTACCAATAATGTGAGTATCAGCGGAAAGGGGGCATTTGTGTCGTTCAACATTTCTTGTTTATTTTAGGATTTAGTTAAATTCCTAATGAGATAACTGAAAAAAATCATTAAAAGTAAAAATGTTTCTGTTTTAATGTGAATTATTTTCATTAATTGTAGGCAAGAGATGATGAGCTGGCTAATGAAGTAGAGGTACAGGATGCTGATGATAAAGATGAAGATCCAGAATCTCCTTTTAAAGGTGTACAGATTGAGCTGGCACCTAGTGAAACCAAACCATACACTAGGTATGTTGAACAATTCTGTGAACATCAAATTCTTTTTCAAAGTTGATTAAAGCAGACCAATGTTGATACTAAACACCTTTTGAAGTTGAGAAATCAATTCTTGTGATTAGTTTAATGGAAAAATCTAGTTAACATAAACTGTAAGATATGCATTCTTTACTTATTATCTGGTAGTCTGTTTTAACAGTGTTGATGTTAACAGCGTCATGATCCTTTCTTTACTAATATATACCATCATGAAGTAAAATTTGAAATGAAGACCTTTGCAGTGAAAACTTAACCAAATGACTAATACAGGTGTATGATTATGACTTATATATTTGTGTAAGATGATCAGGGTTGTAAAATTGATCATTTCATTTCAAATAGTTTTTGGGCTAGCTCAAATCTCTAAAGAAATTAACAAAAAAAAACAGTAGGCAGGAAAATTGCAACAACAACAAAATTTTGTTTCATTTCCGTAGTAAAAGTTTAATATATCATTGAACTTTTTAACAATAATATCGGATGATAACAGACAGTCTTATTCAAGATAAAAGAGGTCATCAGGCAACAAAAACACTAAATATATATTTTTTCAAATTCTATCACAGTATGCTTAATGTCTATAGACAGATTAATGTGAAAAATTAAAAAAATGATGCAATTAAAATTTTTCTAAGGATTGTCAGCATGCCTTCTTTGATGATGTTTGGCAGGCAAAGATATAAGGACTATCAGATCTTCTGAACTGTGTCATAAGCATCCGATTAAAAATGTAAAATAATGATTTTTTGCATGTATTTTAGTGTGTCTGCATGTTGGATTTTTTTATTCGGAATAACACATTAACGTAAACAAGTAATTTTAAAACAACTAGATTAAATGCTCGGTAATAATGATGCTCGTGGGGGCATTTTCAGTAGTACAGTCAACACAGTATAAAAGACCAACTTTGGGAAACAAGTGAAAAGGTCACATAACAGGGAGTCTCTTAAAACAGTTTTGCCCAACCAGCCAACATTGGCTTATAAATATACATGTATATGGACATGTATTGCTAAGTATTTACTTATTCCAATGAAATATACATGGTATATAGGCCCCTTTTTAAGATAAGAGTGATAATTAGTTTAATTGCATTTTAAAAAGATGAAACATTTAAAATAAAATACAATGTAGTTTGCATCATTCATATGATGTTGATAACACATTAAAAACATGAAAATGTTACTGTTTCAGATCATAAAAACTGAACAGTTACTGGGAGTTAAGAAAATAAAATGTTCTACTAAAATATGAAATGTTCCACAAGATGCACTTTGTGAGATTAATGCTGGTGACTTAACATCTATTTACAATATTCTCTTTTCATAGAAATTAATAATCTGAGGTTTTTTTAGCTTGCCATTTTGCCATTTTTTACACCAAAATCCTCAGCAACTTTACACACTGGCTTAACCTGATCTAGGAGTTCTAAGGCCTTTACACACTGCTCCAGTGTCAATTGGTTCGGTTTTTTTTTTTTTTTTTGCTTTTTTCAACGGCTACAATTAAACTTTGTTTTCTCCAACTCGGATCGCTAGAATACCTCCCTTCGCTCGGACTCAGTCCTGGCAAATTCCTATATAATATATATTGTTCTACCTGAGATCGCTCGAATGCCTCTCTTGTCCCTTCGGCAGAAATAAAGCGAAAAATCATACCTTTTTGGTCAAACACAAAAAGGCAACAAAAGTTGTGGGCCGACATGTTCTAAATAAGTGACAGTCGGCGACATATGTTTTTAACACCTTGTGATCATGATAAAGGCAATTAAGGTTAATTGATACAAAAAAAGAGGTATTGTAACCGATTTGTTTGTTATAATAATATTGTTTATTTGCCGTTTATAGTAATGATAAAAGAAAAATAACTTGTGAAATTTTCACGCAAAGCACATTATTGGGGTCTATACAAATATTTGCATATATATTCCTATCCTAGGAAAGGAGTTTTGAATTTCTCAAAGTCTTTTTATTAAATTAAATTCCAATCTCCTCAAAAAATTCTTACTGACAACCCTGGATGATTGTTTCTTTGTTTCCGGTGTAAAAAGTATATAAAAAATATATATTAACTTCCTTCTTGTAAAAGTGTATAGAATTAATTATATCAAATGTATAGAAAAGAAAAAGTTTTTCAAGAAGTGGGGTTACTTGTATAAAAATAATTTTGAAGAACTATATATATCTTGCATGGAGCAAGAATAACATTTTATCTGGGAAAATAAGGTTAGGTATAAAACTGTTTTGTCTGAGAAACTTAATGTTTAACTGGAATGGTTACTTAATTACAGAATTGGTAGTGATGAAGATGATGAAAGTGCTGATGATGAATCTCAGAGTAATGAAGATGATCCAAGTGAGACAGCAGTGTCCATAAACGCTCGTAGAATCACAGACTCTATCTACACTGATGATAATGAAGATGATGCTACACAACAAGATGGGTCCATAGAAACAGGGGCAACAAATGAGAATATGGTACCTGTTTCATCACTGGGACAAGATCAGGGCAAAGATGCTGACCAGGGAGCTAGCAGTGGGAAAGTTGAGACTCAGTTAACTGAATATATGAATGGTGACCTAAGCCCTGTGGAAGCTAGTGAACACATGAATGGAGATGTAAGTTGAAATTTAGATTAGACATATAATAGGAACGACCCTGGTGGGCCGGCAGGTGTCATCCAAGTTTGTCTGGAGCATATTTCCAAATTTGCTTGCCACACTTTTTATTGCCCATTTCTCCAACTAAAGCTTTTGTGACAGGTGTATTTTGTGACAATGTCAGCCTTGTTCTGGAATAACTCAACGTGAAGTTAAAGTTAAATTTATATGTATATTGAAATCCACAAAATTTAAGGTTATTTATTCTGTTTTTAGCAAGAAAAGTAGATGATTGATATATGTTACTTTTTTACTTAAAAGATTGTGTCTTAAATACTAGGACTCTCAATAATTTTCATTTATTATAGATCCTAAATGGAGACATAGAAGTTATTACAATGGATGATTTGCCAGCTTCACTCACAGTCATCTCATCTGTGAGTATTAGCATTACATATAACATAATTTAATATAATAGGGAGAGCTATCCTACTCACCTGGGAATCAGCGTCTGTGTCACACTTTTGGTATTGCTGTGAAACTTTGTATACTTGTTAGTGACCATCATCATCACTTCCAGGCAAGAGGACATAACTCTTGTCGTGGATTTTGATGAAATTATGTCCCCTTTTAGCTCATCTGTCAAAGTGAGATGGTGAGCTTTTGTGATCGCTTTTTGTCCAGTGTCTGTCCATAAACTTTTACTTGGTCCAGTATTAAACTTTTACTTTAAACAACATCTCCCTCATAGACCGCTAAGCCAACTTAATCCAAACTTCAAAGGAATGTTTCTTTGGTGGTCACCTTAAAGAAATGTTCAAAGAATTTAATTCCATGCAGAACTCTGGTTGCCATGGCAACCAAAAGAAAACGCATAAAATATCTTTAAAAAAAAACAAAAAACAAAGATCTAGAGCTTAGATATTAAGCATTTGGTTGTCTACCAAGTTTGTTCTAATAAAAGCCCTCGGGTTAAAATTGGAAGTGTATATAGTAAAAAAAAAAAACTTTAAAAAAAAACAAAAAAAGTTTAGATATTTAGCATGAAACATATTCTAGTGGGTATCTACCAAGTTTGTTCAAATAAAAGCCCTGGGGTCAAAATTGGCCCCCGGCCCAGGGGGTCATTGATTTTCTTTATATGTATATAATGAAAACAAAATAAAGATAGTATACACTTGTTTATCTAATTTCTAAACATGTTTCATTAAATCAAACATATTATCATTATTTTACAACCATTTTGTAGTGTGATGTATATTGCCAAATTATTCCCCTTTTCTTTTACTTCTTTTATAGGATTTTAAAAATAAATAAGATTAACAAGAGTTTACTAGTTATACCCCCACAAACGAAGTTTAGGGGGGGTATATAGGAGTCAGCTTGTCGGTCGGTCGGTTGGTCGGTCCATCGGTCGGTCCACATCATGGTTTCCGGACGATAACTAGAGTTTGGAATGAGGTATTGTAATCAAACTTGGTATATAGCAACCTTATGTGGAAACTCCGGTTGGTATTGCATTTGGACCCCCTGGGGTCAAGGTCAAGGTCACTGTTATTAAAAATAGAAAAATGGTTTCCGGACAATAACTAGAGTTAGGAATGAGATATTGTTATCAAACTTTGCGTATAGCAACCTTATGTGGAAACTCCGGTTGGTATTGCATTTGGACCCCCTGGGGTCAAGGTCAAGGTCACTGTTATTAAAAATAGAAAAATGGTTTCCGGACAATAACTAGAGTTAGGAATGAGATATTGTTATCAAACTTTGCGTATAGCAAGCTTATATGAAGACCTGGGTTGGTATTGCATTTAGGCCCCCTGGGGTCAAGGTCAAGGTCATGGTTACTAAAAATAGAAAAATGGTTTCCGGACAATAACTTGAGTTAGGAATGAGATATTGTAATCAAACTTGGTGTATAGCAAGCTTATATAAGATCCTGGGTTGTTATTGTATTTGGACCCCCTGGGGTCAAGGTCAAGGTCACCGTTACTAAAAATAGAAAAATGGTTTCCGGACAATAACTAGAGTTAGGAATGAGATATTGTTATCAAACTTGGTGTATAGCAAGCTTATATGAAGACCTGGGTTGGTATTGCATTTGGACCCCCTGGGGTCAAGGTCAAGGTCACCGTTACTAAAAATAGAAAAATGGTTTCCGGACAATAACTTGAGTTAGGAATGAGATATTGTAATCAAACTTGGTGTATAGCAAGCTTATATGAAGACCTGGGTTTGTATTGTTTTTGGACCCCCTGGGGTCAAGGTCACCGTTAATAAAAATAGAAAAATGGTTTCCGGACAATAACTAGAGTTTGGAATGAGATATTGTTATCAAACTTGGTGTATAGCAAGCTTATATGAAGACCTGGGTTGGTATTGCATTTGGACCCCCTGGGGTCAAGGTCAAGGTCACCATTCCTAAAAATAGAAAAATGGTTTCCGGACAATAACTAGAGTTAGGAATGAGATATTGTAATCAAACTTTGTGAAAAGCAAGCTTATTTGGAGACCCCAGTTGGGATTACAATTAATTGAAATATTTCTTTGTACACAGTTGATAGTTTGTGTTGAAATTTTTCTTCAGACTACTTATTTTTCAAAAAGTTGCTGGTGGGGGTATTAATCACCTTCAGTGATAGGTCTAGTTTTTATATGTTTTATATGTAAATAAACAAATTATTTGTGATAATAGTTACATATGTCTCTTATAAATCTCAGATGGTTGATCTTACATGTATTTCAAATGTATATGAATTTTATGTACTGTATTTGTAAATGTGAGAAAGAGACTGAAATAAACGAATATATATGTTTGAGTGTGAATTTTTGGGATAATTTTATAAATGCCATGCGAAAGTTTTTAAAGGTTGATTTCCTGTTTTATCAAATCAGCTGAAGGTTTTGTTGGTTAAGTATATTATTCAAGTAAGAATGTGCCAAGTTGTTCAGGTTCTTGACTTAAAACCACTTTTCCCTTGCTGTGGGTTTAAGTCCTATCATGGAATTTAAATTCTTTCATGTCAGAAATCTATTCAGCTAGCTGATGGAACATCAGTGGTTCTACTGTCAGAGAGAGGTAAAGTGGCAGTGTGACTTTAAATATAACAACAACAAAAATTAAATAAAGTATGCCTGTTAAAGTCTTATTTATAAAGCAGTGTGAGGTTAATGTAATGCCTTAAACTATCTGACATAGACCTTCTAAAATGAAACAGTATCTAATAAATGTTTTTGATGGTAACAGGAGGATTTACAACAGAAGTTAACTCAAGAACAACAAAATAATTCTGGTGCAGCTGCAGTGTTAGGAACTTTCGAAACATCACAAGAACTTGCTGGAGATCCCCAGTTTTTGAAGGAACCTGGTATGTTTATGATTTTTGTGTCGCCTCTACGGAGTAGTGGCGACATATAGGGATCACTTCTCCGTCGTCTGTCTGTCTGTCCGTCACAAAACTTGTCCGGACTACTCCTCATAAACTACTGGTGCAATTTCATCCAAACTTTACAGGAATGATCAGTACCAAGTCTAGTTGTGCATATTGTCAGCATTTTCCAGTTCAATGATTTTTGTCAGATTTATGGCCCTTTAATAATTTTTAATTTTAAAGTTTGTCCGGACTACTTCTCTTATACCACTAATGCAATTTCAATGAAACTTTACAGGATTGATCTGTAGCTCAAGTCCTTGCGCATATTGCAAGGGTTTTCCGGTTGAATGATTTTTGGCCGAGTTATGGCCCTTTGATAAAAAAGGTGTATTTTTCTGTATGTTGCCAGATACACAAAAGCTTGTCCGGACTACTCCTCATAAACTACTGGTGCAATTTCATCTAAACTTTACAGGAATGATCAGTACCAAGGGTAGTTGTGCATATTATCAGCATTTTCCGGTTCAATGATTTTTGTCAGAGTTATGGCCCTTTAATAATTTTTATTTTTAAAGTTTGTCCGGACTACTTCTCTTATACCACTAAAGCAATTTCAATGAAACTTTACAGGATTGATCTGTAGCTCAAGTCCTTGCGCATATTGCACGGGTTTTCCGGTTGAATGATTTTTGGCCGAGTTATGGCCCTTTGATAAAAAGGTGTTTTTTCTGTGTGTTGCCAGATACGCAAAAGCTTGTCCGGACTACTCCTCATAAACTACTGGTGCAATTTTATCCAAACTTTACAGGAATGATCAGTACCAAGTCTAGTTGTGCATATTGTCAGCATTTTCCGGTTCAATGATTTTTGTCAGAGTTATGGCCCTTTAATAATTTTTATTTTTAAAGTTTGTCCGGACTACTTCTCTTATACCACTCATGCAATTTCAATGAAACTTTACAGGATTGATCTGTAGCTCAAGTCCTTGCGCATATTGCACGGGTTTTCCGGTTGAATGATTTTTGGCCGAGTTATGGCCCTTTAATAAAAAGGTGTTTTTTTTCTGTGTGTTGCCAGATACCCAAAAGCTTGTCCGGTCTACTCCTCATAAACTACTGGTGCAATTTTATCCAAACTTTACAGGAATGATCAGTACCAAGTCTAGTTGTGCACTAATGAAATTGGCCATCATGAGGCCACACATGTGATTACTGATCGCTCTTGTTATAAAAATATTTACCAATTTTTTTTTTGTAAAAGTGCATAAAGCTATATATCAGCAAAAATTATTGTCTGAATTTTAAAAAAGAATACTTGCAAAAGGCCTGTTTGAATTATGGTAGTAAATTCCACTAAAAGTGAATGGTGCATGTAAGACATCATTAAATGGATAAAACCCTGCTTAAAATAGCAAAATGTTATTTTATTCCTGAACATTTTATTCTCTTACAATATTCATGTGTGTTAAATAACAGAGATTCTATGATACAACTCTCTTGAAAATCGACCATAAGGTTATAGAACCAATATAATTGGTGATAAATTTTACAAAAATATATAAGATATAGGTTTATACACTTAAAGGTAGCTTATCTATGTGACATGAACTTTCCATTTCTCTGTTAGACTTAACTGTGCATTTGTTTGGTTTTTATGCCAATTTCAACACTTTTGGTCATATTTCAGCTGTCATTTCACCTAAACAGCTTTCCGGGATAACTGTTAACTAACAAGTAATTACATGTTCTAATATTTCTTCAAGTGAAGGAATTTTAATCCAAATGATTTCAGACTCCGTGGTGAGAGACAAATGACCATTAGACTCAATACCCAACATCAAATGACACAGATAAACTTCACATTACTCAAGGATTGAACAGCTTCACCTGGGTTACATATCCAATTGTCTTCCCATTAAGCTTAGCACAAGGACTAAACTGATGAATTATAAATTACTTTAATGAAGTTGAAAAACTTAACTTTGACTATAAATATCTGATTATATTGTCACTGTCTGATTGGCATTTACCTTTTATGGCATTGGTCAGTCTGTCCATCAGTCTATCTCCAAACTTTCATGTCCACTATAAATCATATACCCTTTGGAAGATTTTTTCAATATTGGCTCAAATGTTCACATCTGGAAGGTTATGTGCAAATCTGTGCTGCCTTAATGTCAACGTCACCCTTAAAGATCAAATGTGAGAGAATTTTCTGGCTACTTTATATATCCTTTTAACCTTTGAAGGATTTTCTATGATATAGGCTAAAATGATTACAATACAGAACTCATGACACCACTATATTGCCTCAAGGTCGCACTTGAAGGTAAATGTCAGCCAGTTTTATGTCTTCAAAATCAATCTTTTACCCTTTCAAGGACTTTCTTTAAACTTTGCTTCGATTGTTCACCTACAAATAGTGGTAAATATCCTATGTCACAGAAATGGTAGGAGTATTTGTTACTCATGTGAAAGCTTTAGTTAAATTTATGGTGCACTGTATTAACAGAAATTAACAAAGTAAACTATTTTTCAGATGAGGCAAGTGGTTGAAGAGAAGAAGTTTTCTAGTGATAGAATATCATCATTATTATTTGTGAAGAAAAAGAATGACATTACAGTTCAACATATGGAGGTTTCAGTGATTTTATTGAACTATTGTGACAGTTGTTAATAAGATATTGAAATATTCACAGTTGATTAAAATTTCTATTTATTTTGTTTGTGATAGATTTGAGTATTTACATGACCTCTTGGGTAGAGATAGAGTTATTATATAAGGTTTGATATTTGATTACATTGTTTATGTGTTATAGGTTGTGTTCCTTATATCTGACATTTTCTGAATCTCAGAGATAAATTTAATCTGTCTTAATTAGAAAACACTTTATTTTTTTCAACAAATGTTAAAATCTTTGGGTATTTTGAAGAATACAGAAATAATAAATTTTCGAGAATACAGAAATAATAAATTTTCGAATTCTGTATTTATTTTTAAATTATTGTCTTGTTTCATTATTGATTTTTTTTTATCAATAAACGTTTGTGCTTAAAGAAATAAGGAGTCCTAATAGAGAAATAATGTTAAAATCATGATTATTTCCTCACATGCCCAGATTTCATTGTATAACTATTGCTTTTAAATATTTGTTTATTGGTCTTTGTTTATGATCAAAACATAGATTAATAGTAAACATAATTATAAGAGCCTTGTTTTGTGGTTAATGTTGTGACCAAAGATTATAAAACTCAAGATACATCTAATTTTTTATTTCTGGGCTTGGGGTTGAAAAATGGTCCCTTTATTGAGGTTAATTTCCTAAGCTTGTTTATAAGTTTGGCTAATAGCAGTGGCTAATAGTTTAGGAATGTTTGTCTCAACTTGTAGATTCAAGCTCCTCAACTTGGTCCACTACCATTTTTCCTCGCAAGCAACAAGTACATTCTAACAACAATACATCTAGATTAACACCATGAAAAGTTTATTTCACGATCAAAATTAGGTATATGAAGGAACGACAGTTCATGTTTAATGAAGAGAAAAATCAAATATATTTGATGATTTATATATATGTGTGTACATATTGAAACAAAAACCCCTTGTTGTGATCTGTTTGAATTGAGATGTTTACTTTGTATGAATTTTAATGCAGATATATTGTGTGATAGCATTGATGCATTCCATTAAAGACAGAAATGTGAGGTGTACTATACAGTGTTTATACCATATATATTGTGCTTTGATGACGAAAACATCTTGAAAATGTTATTTGAAATTATGACTTTGTCGAATTAGAAAGTTAAAATTACTGATTGTGAAATTGACTATATAAAGAGAACTTACTAATTTAATTGTGAAAAGGTCAGTGGAAAAGATTTCTTTTTCAGAATGCTATTTTAAAAAATAAATTTAAGATTATACAGTTAGATGTTAATTTGTTAGTGATATTTTTCTATATTTAATAAAAGTTTGTTATTTCTCTTGTTCAATGTATTTTATTACCTATCACAATCTAGTTTTTATGCTCCCCGCTTTGTCAGTCCGTCTGTACGTCCGCATTTATTGTCCGGGACATAACTTTAAAACAACAAGAGGTATCAACATGAAACTTTGTAGGTAGATCTCATTAAGTAGGTGTGCAGTGCAAATAAACCATAACTCTGCCTTGCCTGATTTTGGAGTTTTTGCCCTTTGTTCATTTTTTAATAATTTCCTTTGTCCAAAACCTTCTCGGGGAGCATCAGCTGGTTCTTGTTTCTTATATTTTCCATAACCTTATCACTGGAATTACAATGAAATCTGTAGCTACAAAGGTATTAATAATGTATATCAACTATACTGAGAGTTTAGAAGTTACGTACACCTGGGGCAAAAGAAAATATGAATTTTATTTTTTAATTTTTATCTTGACTTAATAGTTTTTGAGAGCATGAATAGGTAGAGCTAAGAAACAATTAAAGCAATTTGAAAGAAAAATATATGATTATACTTGAATTTTGTCAGCTTGAATTTAAATATTTGGATATTATCTGAGCAGAGTCTCAGTTTCATTTTTTATTTTGATTCTATTTTTATAATATAATAGTAATTCTCCACATGATGTATAAGGCCTATACACATACATGTATTCTATATATAAATGCACAAATACATGATTTATTAATGAATGTATCTCTCACTGGTTTTCTAGAAACTGTATTTTATATTATATCTGTATAAACAGCCATTTTCATCATTGTATGGTTATTTTGCCACAGGAAAGATGTAAAAACATATTCAGTATCTGTGATTTGAGTGCATTTCGTCCATAGTAAATTGTTACTTGTAGTTAATAATTAGAAGGTATGTCCTAAAACAGTTTAAATTTCTAAAGTGTTTTTTAGTTATTTCTTTGTATGTCAAAGTGACACTTTATACAAAAAAACAATGTTAGCCTGTTTTAATGGCAACACACAAAATAATGTTAATGCTGAATATTACGTTTCTATTAGAAAGTTTCATTGTGTATTTTATAAGAAATAATTAACATGATTTACTATGGAAATCACTTTTCTCCTTATTTCATAATTTTTGATTTATTTTGGCAATTTTAACATCATTTTATTTTCAAAGGAGAGCTGTCTTTGTCAAGTTTTTTTTCCGAGACATTTTTAATTCATTATGGGAGAAATTATTTTGTTAACTAAACCGTTTAAGAGTCAGTTGTATGGTTATTATACATGTTTACCTTCAGTATAGAACCAGGCTAGTCTGTTACCTATAGTTAAACCATGCATGTTATACTGTTGCTGTATTAATAACCTTTATGCTGAACACTCTGATCTACTTCTAGTTTGTTAAAAAATCAAAGCAGGACATGTAACTAATACATGGTTAATATTACTTTATTTGACATTGTCTTTTTGTCTCTAATATTGTTGTGAGATCACACATTCAGCCATCACGTCATCTGATGTTAACAATTTAAAAAAATAAAAGTTGTCACATAATCTGGTTTGTCACACTTTTTTGTTACCTCACCGGAGCTGGGTCAGGGCGAGCTTTTAGTAATGTTGAATGACTGTTGTCTGCAATCTATCATCTGTCTACATTAAGTTCTTTAACACTCACTTGGTCAGGATGTTTGTCCCAGTAATTGCTCAAACTAGTTCAAAGATGGGAAATCTCAGATGAAACTAAGTCACAGGAGCAAAAAAATAGAAAAAATTAATATTGTCAGCCTAAATATCCTGAGAATTGTTCAGAAAGATTTTTTAGCTCAGTTTGAATATGGCTGATTTAGGGTAAAAACATAGATCACAAAGCCCAAATATCAAACACTTCAGAGGTTATTGGTACAGTCCAAATATCCTGGAAATTGGTCAGAAAGGTTGTTTAAATTATTTCTAGGTCAAATTAAAAATGGGTCATCAAGCAAAAAAGTAGGTTGTAGTCCAGATATGGAAACCTTGTTGACTCTAGAAGAAACATTTTCAGCCCATACATCCTGAAAATTTGTCAGAAAGGTTAAGTTAATTTCAAGCTCAAGTTTTAATATTTGTCATCTGAGGTCAAGAACTAGGTCGCTCAACCCAAATATGAAAAAAACCTTATTAACACTTCAGTTTGAGCTCAAGTTCAAACCTGAGGTCAAAAACTATGTCCGAAAGCCAAAATTATAGAAAGACATTGCTAACACTCTTAGAGGCAATATTTTCAGCCCAAATATCCTGGAAATTGGTCAAAAATGTAATGTTGATTTTTAGTTCAAGCTGGGACCAAAATTATAAAAAAACAAGAAATGTGGAACGACACATATGCCCCACTTTCTAGCCCTTGGCTCACATTATTGGTTTTTTGTTGTTGTAGAAACTTGCCATAAATGGGTGCATGGAAGTGTTCAGTTATGGAAAAAAGAAGAATAATGCAGACATAGTTTTCAAGATAATGAGCGGACACTATTCTGACATTTAAGGCCCCTGTGACCTTGGCCTTTAAACTAGTGACCCAAAATCAATAGGGGTCATCTAATAGTTATGACCAATCAGTATTAGAAATATGAAGACTTTGTGATAAATTCTTTTCAAGATAATGAGCGGAAACCATACTAACATTCAAGAACCTTTGACTAGTGACCCCAAAATCAATAGGGGTCACTTAATACTTATAACCAATCAGTATGTGAAATATGAAGACTTTGTGATGAATAGTTTTCAAGATAATAAGCACAAGCTTTTCTGACATTTAAGGCCCCTGTGACCTTGACCTTTGAACTTAGTAGTGACCCCAAAAGCAATATGGGTCATTTACTTGTTATGACCAATCAATATGTTAAATATGAAAACTTTGTGATAAATAGTAACCAAGATAATAAGTTGAATTCCAACTACCATTCAAGGCCCCTGTGTCCTTGACCTTTGCCATAGTAACCCCAAAATCAATAGGGGTCAACTACTAGTTAACACCAATCAATGTCAGAAATATGAAGACTTTGTGATAAATAGTAACCAAGATAATGAGCAGGAACCATTCTGACATTTAAAGCACCTGTGACTTTGACCTTTGACCTAGTGACCTTAAAATCAATAGGGGTCATCTTTTAGTTATGATCAATCACTATGTGAAATATAAAAACTTTTGTGTTGAATACTTTTCAAGATGATCAGCGGAAACCATACTGACATTTAAGGCCCCTGTGACCTTGACCTACTGACCCCAAAATCAATAGGGGTTATTTTCTAGTTATGACCAATTACTATGTGAAATATGAAGACTATGCGATGCATAGTTTTAAAGACAATCAGCGGAAACCATTCTGACATTTAAGGCCCCTTTGACCTAATGACCCCAAAATCAACAAGGGTCATTTTCTAGTTATGACCAATCAATATGTGAAATATGAAGACTGTGATGCATAGTTTTCAAGATAATCAGCAGAAACCATTCTGACATTTAAGGCCCCTGTGACCTAGTGACCCCAAAATCAATAGGGTCATCTACTAGTTATGACCAATCACTATATGAAATATGAAGATTATGTGATGCATAGTTTTCAAGACAATCAGAGGAAACCATTCTGACATTTAAGGCCCCTGTGACCTTTGACCTAGTGATCCCAAAATCAATAGGGTCATCTACTAGTTATAACCAATCACTATATGAAATATGAAGATTATGTGATGCATAGTTTTCAAGACAATCAGCGGAAACCATTCTGACATTTATGGCCCCTGTGCTCTTGACCTTTGACCTAGTGATCCCAAAATCAATAGGGGTCATCTACTAGTTATAACCAATCACTATACGAAATATGAAGACTTTGTGATGCATAGTTTTCAAGATTATCCGCGAAAACCATTCTAACATTTAAGGCCCCTGTGGCCTTGACCTTTGATCTAGTGACCCCAAAATCAATAGGGGTCATCTACTAGTTATGACCAATCAATATGTGAAATATGTAGACTTTGTGATGAATACTTTTCAAGATAATCAGTAGAAACCATTCGGGAATTTAAGGCCCCTGTGACTTTGACCTAGTGACCCTAAAATCAATAGGGGCCATCTACTTGTTATGACAAATCAATATTTGAAATATGAAGACTTTGTAATAAATAGTAATCAAGATAATAAGCGGAAATCATATTACCATTCAAGGCCCCTGTGACCTTGACCTTATTTGGTTTTTTATCTCACAGCTGAATAAGAGAGTGAAAACTATTTTTTAATTAAAAGGTTATTGATTGAGATAAACCTACTTAAAGAACGTCATATATTTGAACACTTTATTAACAAATGTCGTCGAAAAAATTAGTTGACGTTTATTAATTGAAGAATTTTAAAGCGGTAATTTTATTTATCTTAAATCAACTCAATTAGTTTGATCTAACTGTAAAAAAGTTAGTTTCAAAGTTTATTTCAGAACTCAATTCATGTACACACATGACAATATATAGCATAAAAACGTACATTACATGAAGAGGCATAGCATACACATGAAAAAAAATAATATTAATACAATTCATCTTAACAAAATGGAGGAGGACACGCATTTTCAAGGACATGATGAACAAATATGTAGAAATCTAGTATCAAATTTTGTGATTATTTTCTTAACAAATACACAAAAATTACTGTATTCATTACAATGACTTACATGTATATTCATAATAGATTTAAAAGTTAATAAAATTTGGATGTCGTACATAATTACGATCTAACATTCTTTTTCTTAGTACAGATAATTCATTGCATTCAAAGAGATAATGTAATTCATCTCCAATACTTCCGGAGCTGTTACAAAGTGTAGATTTACGTAAATTTAAATCTATACCATTTCAACTTCTGGTTTCTACATGAAGGCTGTTGTTTGTTACATATCTTAGTAAGTTTTTTTTTTGGTGTATTTGTTTAATAGGGTCCGAAATGGAATTTTGTTAAGATGAATTGTATTAATATTATTAGTTTCATGTGTATGCTAGCCTATTTCCACAATTGAATAATTTATAATTTTTACATTTAATCGATTCTGTACAATACCAGTCATTTAAAAATAAATCTGACAATTTTTGCTTCACATTAGCAATAAGGAAACATCTGATAGGTCCATACATTGGGTATATACTTTCTTCAAAATTACGGAAGCCCATTGAGGCCGTTTTGAGTTAGAAGGCAACAATTCGAGCTTAGATGTTAGATGTTAGAGCTTAGATCTTAGAACTTAGGTCTCAGTTCGTAGAACTAGAGGTTCCGTAGAGGCGGGAAACGCCATATTGACTGCAAGATAAACATGAAGATGTATATGAGGTAAACTTCTAATTATATTTCTTTAATTTTATATTTTGCTTTGAAGAATTGCAGAGATATAGCTGTTATGTTAAAATATCTGTATAACTTTAAAAGGCGTGGTGAAAAACAACCAATTATTATTTCAATCGGAGGCAAAGGTGGCTATTTAGACCATTGCAAACCTTGCAACAAAAAGACCTACGATAAGGGACACAACCGTCAAAACTAATATCTGTTGCATGTATTTGTAAACTTTCCCAATTGATAAATTTGGAACAGTATTTGTGTAACTGTCAGTTTTGTTGGTTTTGTAATGTGTACAAAAATAATTTGATTATTTTGCCTATTGCAGAATCTTATTAGATTTTTCTATTCCTTTTACGGACGACGAAAATGGTGTCTACATGTATAGGCATGGATGTTTGAAATTTGCCGTAATAACACAAGTATTTAGTGTTGTTATCATGGATTTAGCTGTCACTCTTAGAGGGACACATTTAAGACTAGAACTGATTGAAAATACTTATCTTTAGTTTATTTTTCAAGGATATTAAACTAATACTGAAAGCTAACAATCTAGTTCAACGCAAAACACGTACACAAGGACAATTTAGGACCCAATTACTGCAGTAATCCAGAGAAGTGCAAGTGTGTAGGTTTCGACAGATGTAGCACAAATTGGAGTGACTATGTCTGAGGCTAATGCCACAAATCGATCCCGAGGGAACTCATGAACGCAAAGCACGGCGAAGATATGTCTCGAAATTCCTTACTTTGTGTGGCATGTAAATGGTTCCACAAGTTAAAGCCATATGGATTCTGCATCCACCGAGCGATCGACGGGTACATTCGACGCATTTTTAGGCCTTTGTGCCAAAAATGTTCCACAATCATCTGTAAAAATTCAAGGTTCGTTTAATGGCTGTCAAAAACTTTCCGTTACTAGTATTCGACGACAACACTCGAACAAGTTTCTCGGTTTCAATGAGGCCCTTTAAGTGATCCATAAAGTTCTGGCATATCTTAATGTCTTCTTGATCAACACGATGATCACAGTTATGCCCACCATAGAGGTTCAAAATACATGTACATTATATCAGGTCTTCCGAATGGTATTTCAAAATTCTTTTGCGTTTAGCTTGTCATGTTCTGCTTGAACCAAATCCATTAACAATATCTTAGACATTCCATGTGTACACGATTTGCTATATCCGCACTTTCGACCCCCCCCCCCCTCTTTTAGGCCTCAAATAGTGAAAAAATGTCCTATTTGGACCCCAAACACATGTTTTCGTTTGAGAAATGTTGATATAAAAAGTGAGCGCTTGTGGGGTTTGAAGGGGGGCGGTGTGAGAGGCTAAAAATGACCCCAGGTCGATCATAAGGTAACGTGTAACCAACGCTGAAAAGCTTTTGACTCTATCTCAATCCCTTGAGAAGTTGCAGCACTTTGAAATAAATTTTGATGGAAAAAATCGAGGCAAAATAGTGATTTTTGGCAATTTTGAGACGTCCCCTCGTTGCCATGGTAACAGGAAATTTAATACTCAGCATGTCGATACAAAGGCAATGGTCCAGTCAACATTTGTGCCAAGTTTGATTAGTATTGAAGCATTTTTCATAGTTTCATAGCAGTTTGAACTTGTAACAGGAGGCTTTTCAATGAAAACAGCCATTTTTCACAATATGCTCATGAGGGAAAGGGTTAATGTCTCTGCCGGCCAGTATGACGCTATCACTGCCGGCGAGTTGTCGCTGTTTGATACTGTTTGAGCCATCAAATAAGTGGACTGTACAGATCGCTCCGAGGATGCACAATCACGATGTCTTTAACTTGTCGTACCCATTTACATGCCACACAAAGTTAATCAATTGTAGTCTTCATAAATGCTCCCCTCTGAGAATGACAGCTAAATCTGTGATTAAAACAATTGTTACTGGTGTAATAACAAACAGCGAAATTCCAAACCTCCATGCTAATTAAGAGTCCATTTTAATAATCCGGAAAAGGGATAAAGAAGATTCTGCAATAGGAAAATAATCAAATTATGTTAATACACATTAGAAAACCGACATTTTTTAATTATTATAAAACTATTAGATACACAATTTTAAATACTGTTTCAAATTGATAATCACATAAATACAGGCAACAGATATATCGAGCTTGTGTCCCTCATCAAAGATATTTTTGGTAGCCAGGTTTGGCGAAGATAGCTAGAACTGGCTAAAATAGCTACTTATGGAGTTAATGTGTCCCTCATTGTTGAAGATAGCTTGGTCGACCTTTGTTTACTATTGAAATTGGTTGTTTTTTACCCGGTCCTTATATATAATACATAATCACTTAATCTTTTAACGTTCTTGCTATATCTCTGCAATTCTTTAAATTAAAAAATAGAATTAAGGAAATATAATAAAAAGTTTATCTCAATTACATCTTCTTGTCTATCTTGCAGATATGGCGTTTTCCCGCCTATACGAAACCTTTAACTTCTAAGATCTAAGTTCTACTAAGATCTAAGTTCTAAGATCTAACATCTAAGTTCTAACTTCTAACTCAAAACGGCCTCAATGGGCTTTCGTACTGATTGGATTCCAATAGTTTCAGCCAATTTTTGTACACACTACGTCAAAGTTGACCATCAAAGCCAGATTTTGAACATGACGTCGTTGCGTATCTTTGGCAACTGTTATGGGTATCACAACGCTTTAGGTGGACGAAATATGTTTAATTCTACAGTTTTCGACGGAAATATTTTTTACTTTAAGCTGATATAAAATTTATGGTTTTACGGTGAAAAATGTTTGAAAAATGGAAAGAAAACTGTCAATTTTGTGTAAAATTTGACGTTCAGTTTAGCCACAATCTTCTCTAAGGCTAAGGCTTACACATTTTGTGTAAAACTCCATATAAATTGTTCAAATTATAGCCCTTTGGTCAAAATTGTCCCCACCCCGGGGGTCATGGCTTTTCCTTATACAGTAAATACTTAAAAAGACATTGAAAACTGCGAGGGCTAAGCAAGAAAGAGATACTAGAATATTTGGCATAAAACATTCTCTAGTGGATTTCTACCAAGTTTCTTCAATAGCCATGGGGTCAAAATTTGCCCCACCCGGCAGTGGGAGAGGGTCATGGTTTTCCTTATACATATATGTCAACAGTAAAAACTTAAAAAGACTTCTATTCAGCAAATGAATACATTTGCACATTGTGTTTCATTTTTAAATATGACCTTGACCTCCAAATTCGCAAGACACTTCTTTTATATTAAATTATAATAATTAGGAGAAGATAAATAATATGTTAAGGTGTTGTTGTTTTGTTGTTTTTTTTGGAGGGGGGAGTTTGCAAGGGGTCGAAAAACACTATCAGCGTTTTCTCTATTATGCACACATTATTCGTGTCAAGCTTGAGACATATACGCCACAACATTGACATAAAGAGCTTAGTCACGTGATTAGAATTAATCTAAGTTGAGTGGTTTGGAAGATATTGATTGTCAGGAATCTTCCAAGTGGCTTTCTTTTTTCATAGAAACAATCATCATTTTTTTCATTTCTATTGTGTAGCTTGTTTCATTTTACTAGTGGTTTGGTGGTAAACATTTCAAAAAGACTGGAACTAAATGAACATTATTAATTCAATTTAAATTAATTTCCTATGCCATTAATGCAAGATGATATAGTGTTTGAGGAATTATTTATAGTTCTGTATCAGTTATATATATTTATTTGGACAGATTATTTAAAGATTAAAACAATGATGTATTGAATAAATATGAAAAGATAATTGATTATGAATGTATGTGGAGATGTGACATAATGAGTAATGCATATACATTTAAACTGTTATTTAAATGATCTAAATTATAAAAAAAAGTTAACACAATGAAAAATAATAAAGAAATGCAGAACCAAATTATAGCTCGTCTAAGATTGTTATCAGCTGAACGTCAGCGGGAAGCACTTCCAGAGAAGAATTTACAGATAGAGAAATGGGTTCACAGGGTGAATCAACATTCTAACCAGTGGCAACCGTCATCTCCAGTCTTCCCGAGATTAAATGATTCCCAGTCACGTAAATTAGCACCACTTGAACGTCAGGACAGCGGACTTGAGTCGGCTAGCGTTAGTGGTATGAGCGCCCCAGCAAAAACACCTATTCTGTCAGGTAAACTTATCATATATTCTTTTAATTTGTAAACAATGTTTGCAGGTTGTTACGGTGTTCCGTTTGGACAGTCGGGATTTTTTTTATTTAGTCTGTTACCGCGATGCACGATGGTACGGTGGTGAAAACGCGATGGTACGATGGTGAAAACACGATGGTGAAATCGCGATGGCGCGATAGTACGATGATGGTGAAAATGCGATGTTACATCGCCATCGTGCCATCGCATTTTCATCATCGTACCATCGCGTTTTCACCATCGTGCCATCGCGTTTTCACCATCGTGCATCGCGGGTAAGGAATAAAAAAAATCGCGATTGTCCAAACGGAACACCGTAGGTCGTATACTGGAGTCAGCCAAAGGGACCCGGCACAGTGTTGGGATAGTGTAAAAAAGGAATTCTAGAAAAAAATATAGTATATATATAATAATATATAGATAAATGAGATAAAAGAAAGTAATTTTATAGCATGTTTCTTTTGTAAAGAAACATGTAAGAAAAGATTAATTGCCTCAAAAATAAAAACATTGCTGATGGGAACATGTATGTGACAATGGGAAAAAAGAGGATATTTTGGATTGAGAATGACTTCTCACTCAAAAACCCTGTTCACTTAACCCATTACTTCATGAGCATTTTGTGAAAATGGCTGTTTTCATTGAAAAGTCTCCCGTTACAAGTTCAAATTGCTATAAAACTATAAAAACTGCTTTAATACTAATCAAACCCGGCACATATGTTGACTGGACCATTGCCTTTGCAATAACATGCTATTTTGAGGTGATTTTTTCCATCAAAATGGAGTTCAAAGTGCCTGCAACTTCTCAATGGATTGAGATAGAGTCAAATGCTTTTTAGCGTTGGTTACACGTTACCTTATCATCGATCTGGGGTCATTTTTAGCCAAGTCCAAAATTTTCTTGGCGATGAGGGGGACGACCGCCCCCTTCAAACCCCCCAAACAGAAGGGGGCACATCCCCCTTCTGGTAACCCCCTGATGTATCTTTTGGTTGGGGGCCGCGCCGAAGAACTGGTCACTTCTTTAAACAACATTTCTCAAACAAAAACAAGTGTTGGGGGCCTAAATAAGCAATTTTTACCATTTGAGACAACAAAAAAAGGGGGGGTGAAAAAGGCGTTAAAAGGCGTGTATATCGCGTAATGGGTTAAATATAATAACTTGAGAACCATTCGGCTTATAATCACAAGGTCGATCCAGGCTTGTAAATGACCCCTTTGTGAGATTAGAAGGTTTTTTGTCAAGCTCACAATGACCTTAAATAAGATTTCGTAAAAACGAATTAATATTTCGTAATTCGTAAAAACGAATTATTATTTCCTAAAAACTAATTAATATTTCGTAAAAACGGATTAATATTTCGTAATTACCATATAATATTTCGTAAAAACGAATTATTATTTCTTAAAAACGATATTAGAACGAATTATTATTTCGTAAAAACGAATTAATATATCATAATTACGAATTAATATTTCGTAAAAACGAATTAAATGACGGGAAAAAAGTGTCGAAAATGTCACCTTAGGGGTCCGTAATGTATGGGCACCGTGCGATCATAAAAAACATAACATTTTATTTCAAAACTCAATAATTTCGACAAAACGAAAAATAAAATAAAAATGTCCGTGTCAGGACCCCCATTTTCAAAACATTTTCCTAGTACTATCACGGCTGTGGCGGCAACGCTATTAACAAGCGAGTATTTTAATATCTACAGTATTGTTAAGTTATAAAACTTGGGGAGAAAAAAAACACTATTTATATTGCAATTACATCCCTTATATATAGTCAGAAACATAGTTTCGAGGCATTCTTTACCTAGAAAAAATTAATTCGTTTTTACGAAATATTATTTCGTATTTACGAATTATTATTTAACATTTCGTAAAAATGAATAAATATTTCGTAATTACGAAATAATAATTCGTTATTACGAAATAATGTTTCGTAAAAACGAATTATTATTTCGTAATTACGAATTAATATTTCGTAAAAACGAATTAATATTTCGTTATTACGAATTAATATTTCGTAATTACAAATTAATATTTCGTAAAAACGAATTAATGTTTCGTAAATACGAATTAATATTTCGTAAAAACGAATTATTATTTCGTAATAACGAATATTATTTCGTAAAAACGAATTAAGTTCCGGGGAAAAAAGTGTGGAAAATGTCACATTAGGGGCTCCGTACAATTGATACATCCTCAATAATTCTAATAATTATTTATTTATTGTAAACAAAGAATATAAATAGAAATATCTTGATGTACCTGAGAAGACTATTTAGTTAGACCAGGTCAAAATGAATACAAACATGTACATTGTACCCTATTTATACAAAGTGTTGTGCGGGGGTAGTCTAGTTTCAATTTTAACTATTTTAAGACCATGAAAAATATAATTTGTCATTAACAAACTTAACGGTCTGAATAAGTTATATGCATATGCCATAATTTAGCAGCTTTACTTATTGTTGCAAATCCCACTAGTTCTCCGATAGGCAAGTGGTTATAGGCTGGCCACCGTTCTTTATGGCGTCAAGTAACCAGCGCAGGATTGGTTATCACTAACCAACGAATAATCTATCTACATGTAAATATAAATAGCCATGATTATAAAGCCATTTGATGAAATGAAAGTAGATAACATTCAACCCGATATACATTTTCAGGTTTAAATATTGAGGACGCTATGTATTCGGTTATAAATAAAAAATAAAGCCAAATAGTACGATTGAAATTTTATCATGAAAATATTCACTTTCAATATTCTACACAACAAACTTGTTATTATCGTCAACGCATTTTAAATAACGGTTTTCACCATGATTGATATATAGTAAGAGAAATATATGTTATATATGACTGATGCTTGAATCCTGTGTTCTCTCTATTATTCGTTAGAACGACGTCCGTTACAGTTGACACCGGTACCATCAAGATCCAGATCTTACTCCAGACTTGAACTCCCTGTTTCCGTCCGAGTGTACCGGAAGTCGTGCCGTCGACTCAAAATCCTACCTGTTCGACGAGTCGTTGGACAGTTTGGCAGACAGCGAATAATACTGCACGATCTGTGCATGTCGACATCAGATGTTCGGGCAACTTGTAAAGGTTTAATGGTAACTGAGAGAATTGATATCTTGCCAATTACTTGATTACCAAATATTGACTAGATGTCAAAATGTACTTTACTTGTTTGCCAATAAGCTTTTGTATAGAAGATGAGCTGCTTATATTAGATATCACTCCAAAAATACATTAACCTTTCTACATTGTCTAGAAACATTATCAATATTATGAAAGACCCGTGGTTATACACAAGAGAGATAAGCAATAAATTTTAATTGACAAATATGCAATATAATATAACGTGCGTTCAATATATAAATTTAATTACATGTCCTGAATAAGTTCTTGTTTATCCCAACCACATACCGTAAACAGAGTTCCTGTATCATTTCACATATACTATATGTTCATATTTTATCAATCAACAGTCAATATGTGCATAAATGAACTCATCTTTAGAGACATAATCTTTAAAAATATCACTTGTCACTTCTTGTAAACAAACCACCGTACATCTAACTTACATCTAACTTACATCTAACAACCACACTAAGAACTATTGTTGAAGTTTGAAACTGTGATTCGTTTTAAGAGAACATTTCGTTTACCGCTTATTTATTGATTGTTTTATGAACACAATGACTTCATTTGTTTTTTAGCACGAGACGTCTGCTACATACCTTGATATTTCCGGTAACTCCCTGTGTGCTGTCGGCTGCGGCTACGTTTTACAAATGTTATCTAGGAATCAAAGTTTCAAAGAGTTGGTATGTACACATACTTCAAGTTTTACGTTTCTACGGGTCTGTAAATCTGATTTAACTGGCAAGTGCGGTGATTCATAAAGAGTTATTTATTACTGTTAATGATACCAAATTACAATACCAGTGGTTCAATTTTATGATTATGAGCATAAGTACGATGACGGTTTATCGTGCAATGCGCACCAATGGCATTATAAATACAGTAGACAAAATACTTTCTTTTTTCTTTAATGAGTAAACAGTAAGCTGTACTATTTCTTTAATGGTTTACCCTAGATCATCGATATATACCGTTAGACGATAAACGAACAAAACTGAACTAAATATCGTTAAATATATATCTAAGTACTCTTGTTCACGAAAGTTAAAAAGTTCATTACTGGTTAGCTCCCTGCAAGCACAAAGCAAAAAAATAACCAGTTACATACATTGCAAAAGATGAATTCATTTTATAAATATAGAATGTTTTATTTATCTATCGTATAGAATTGTTTTTAAAGTTTGCAAAATTACTGAAAATAAGATAATACCTAATAATACATGATTTGAAATAAAATAAGGTATCGAAATGCTTAATATTTGAGTAAGCTGCCTTTGAAAGGGCAAGGCTAAATAATTCAAAAGTAGAATAGTGGCGTGGTGACACATATTTTTCCACATAAATTTGAAATTTGTTAAATCATGCGAAGTTTAAAATTGTCGTCCCCTGTTTAAATTTTCCTGTCTGCAGTCATTTATGAAGTAAAAATACTAGTTAATTGTACAGATGTACAATTTCTGACTTTTAAAACAATATTTCTTATTTAAATACACGTATTACTATGAACTAGATGTATTTGCCTTTAAGTTGTTTAATTTTCTGCTGTCGTTTTTTTTTTCTTCTTAATAATTAAAAGAATTCATTAATTTAGTTAATTAGGAATATAGTGAAATAGGAATATAACCATGTTCGGCACATACGTAGTCTGATTTATTATGTTTTTATAAATGAAATATTGAAAAATATTGAAATAAAATGCGTATTTTCATTTTCCATATTTTCACTGTAGAATTCTTTTTTCACTACAGTGAAACATATGTTCCGTATTTTAACTGGTGTTTTGATGGACTATTTTTTTCTAAATTCAGTCAAAACACAAAAAGGAATTCTTTCAAATCATAAGATTAAAAAAGAGAAAAGAATATTACAAACAGTAAATTCTAGTGTTTTCTTTCTATAAAAACAGGACTTATTGTCATCTTGTGGTGTGAAAATTATCATATTTTACTCTGGGCTACTGCATATCCATACCACTCGCTGAAATGAATCCTGTATTTATAGAAAATGACTTGAATATATCCTCTATTTATTTAATCTTTCTGAAATGTAGTTAATACTTTTCAGCGCCTTGCGGAAAATTGCCTTACAGGACCGGGAATATGGTCGGTATTTAAATATTTTCAGACGTTTCGAGTGATTACAGTGTTAGATATATCAGGAAACAGACTTACTGATCGAGACGGGATAGTTGTATCATATATTGTCAAGGTAAAAGATATATGTGACATACATGTACGCGCAATACTCACATAAAATTGAATTAAATTTAATAGTTTTTACAAGATTCACCTTATTACTTGTTTGATATTTCAACTAAATATAGATTGCATGTAAATAATTATAAGAAAAAAGTGATGAATGATAATATTAACCACATAAAGGTTACCACAGTGCAGTTATTGCATTAGAAACACTGGTCTTTTGACATTTTTTATTCAGACAAGCCCACAGCTTCGAGTTTTACACGTACATCACAACGAGTTCAGAGAACTAGCTGGAAAAGCCATGGGGAGTGTTATAGGCAAGTTTCATGGCTATATTTTATTTGTATTTCATATGACTTAACCTACTGGAACCGAAATTGATAAGCCTTTGTCACAGTACAGAATCAGGCTAGCCTGCACAACCGTGTAATCTGACCAGGCTCTATACTGTTGTAGCTCATTTTTAATTCCACACCGTCTGTCTGTATGCCCTAACATTTTCGTGTACGCTCTATATCTCCAACATTCTGAGAAGGGTTTTCACAAAACTTGGCGCAAATGTTCGGCTCACTTAAACAATATGACGAAGGCGTGAGTCAGCCATTTTGGCTCAAGGTCACACTTGAATGTCAAATGTTTGAGCCTGCGTTATGTGTCAGTTCCATCCTCCTACATTCATTGAAGGATTTAACATGAAACTTGGCTCAAAACTTGATGGGTTATCGCCATACATGTGCTTCTTTTTAAGGAAACATGTATAAATTAAATATAAGTGTTTTTATTGTTTGTTTTTTTTCTTTTGCATTTTATGTACCACCCTCCTAATAATATGGCACCATTGAACCTAATTTTGACATCTTACATATAGTACCGTTCAGATTCACATTTCTATATTGCTACAAAAGGATCGCGGTGGGGGCTATAGCTGTCCTTTAAATGGACTGTGTTGTTTATATTTTGATATTGAAATTAATTAAAAACTGAACGCGCTGTTCCAAATTTATAGATGGGCAAATCCTTAAAGCAAATACAGCGTGATAACAAAATAACTTTGTTAAAATACCAGCATAATGATATAACAGCACTGACCCTGGCATGTAAATATACCAGCACTGACCCCGACATGTTAATATACCAGCACTGACCCTGCCGAGTTAATATACCAGCACTGACCCTGGCATGTTAATATACCAGCACTGACCCTGGCATGTTAATATACCAGCACTGACCCTGGCATGTTAATATACCAGCACTGACCCTGACATGTTAATATACCAGCACTGACCCTGACATGTTAATACCAGCACTGACCCTGGCAATTATACCAGCACTGACCCTGGCATGTAAATATGCCAGCACTGACCCTAGCATGTAAATATACCAGCACTGACCCCGGCATGTTAATATACCAGCACTGACCCTGCCATGTTAATTAACCAGCACTGACCCTGCCATGTTAATATACCAGCACTGACCCTGTCATGTTAATATACCAGCACTGACCCTGCCATGTTAATATACCAGCACTGACCCTGCCATGTTAATATACCAACACTGACCCTGCCATGTTAATATACCAGCACTGACCCTGACATGTTAATATACCAGCACTGACCCTAAAATGTTAAAATACCAGCACTGATCCTGACATGTAAATATGCCAGCACTGACCCTGTCATGTTAATAAACCAGCACTGACCCTGGCATGTTAATATACCAGCACTGTCCCTGCCATGTTAATATACCAGCACTGACCCTGACATGTTAATATACCAGCACTGACCCTGCCATGTTAATATACCAGCACTGTCCCTGCATGTTAATATACCAGCACTGACCCTGCCATGTTAATATACCAGCACTGACCCTGACATGGTAATATACCAGCACTGACCCTGACATGGTAATATACCGGCACTGACCCTGACATGCTGATATATACCAGCACTGACCATGGCATGTTAACATACCAGCACTGACCATACCAGCACTGACCCTGGCATGACTCAGCAGTTGCTATTATTTACAACTTTTTCGCTCAGCGTCGACTGAACTTCACTTTAAATATTCCATATAATTATGTTTTCTTTTTTACCACTTTATGAAATGATTTATAATACTGACAACTTTAACTATGTTATTGTTGAAGATTTCATGAAGTATTTAACGTCAAATATTTATTGTGGTTATGGACAAAATTCTTCAAATAGAAACAGTTGTTTGTTTATGTGATCTACTGTAAAGACAACCTTGATATACTTTAAAGACAACCTTGATAACGGTTAATGCTTACAAAAAATATTTCAACAGTCAAGGTCAGGTAATAGTGTAATATTTTGTTTGATTTATTATAATTTATGTTTTAGCAACAAGTTACCATAGTGTAAAGGGTCATTGTATCATAGTTTGGGGACCTTTCTGTTGAAAATGTGTCAGGGTTAAATCGTATACATATACATGCACAGTGCGTTAACTGGAGTGCGGGTATTAGTTACCCGCACTCCAGAGCATGCCCATTGATTGGCTCATTTTTGCTGGGGTTTACATATTTTGACGGCAGAGAAAGGGAAAGCGACAGAAATGTCATATTCAGATGTTCGTTCATTGGTTCATTTTTGCCGGGGTTTCATATTGTGACAACAGGGAACGTGCTTTTATGTTTGACTATGATACAAAAGAGAAAGAACACCAAAACACTCGGCAATCTGATTAATACTCGGGGGCTACGCCCCCTCGTACAAATCAGATAGCCTCGTGTTTCGGTGCTCTTTCTATTACTTAAAATCACCAGGGTCTAGTGTCTATGAATTGAATAAGTAATAGAAAGAGCACCGAAACACGAGGCTATCTGATTTGTACGAGGGGGCGTAGCCCCCGAGTATAAATCAGATTGCCGAGTGTTTCGGTGTTCTTTCTCTTTTGTATAAAGTTTCAGTATACAGTTTCCCTAATTAGACAACAGATAATGATTGGTAAATATTAAAATAAGGACATAAGAACACAGATAATGATGGGTTGTATTTTAGGTACTGAAATTTTGTTTGAAAATATAGAAGAAGAAATAAATATTGTTTAAACCAAAATAACTGTCAGAAAAATGTCAGAATTTGTATCTACCCGTTACTAATGAAGTAAGAGAAACTGCACCTTTTGACAAGTTTTAAGTTATTTCTTTGGATAATAAGTGTCTTAGTCTAAGTTGAAACCATGAAGAAAATATAAATCTCTTAAGTTGCATACTTTGTAACAGTTGTTTTACTTATTAGGAAAAAAAGTGTTCATAAACGTTTACAGATACGAAACTTTCGTTTTATCAATTATATTAAATTTGCATGATTTTCGACTGCATAGCGGACAAATTCTATACACTGTACACACACTTCTATAATAATACCCTGACCGATTACTATAATATTACGCTGACCGATTTATAAAATCTCTGTTGTTAGAGACGCAAACAAACGCACATATAAATAATGCGTGGCCTTTCATTTGCGCTATTTAGCCGAATCCGGAAGACCAACATATTTCAGAAAGGTAAGTTAACAATTAACTAATTTCTTTATAAGTTTTCTTTCTTGTAGAGCTTAATTAAATAATTTCTATTAAAAAAAGTTGCATGCATGTTTAAAATGGCAACATTCGCTGCCTCGGCGAGGGTGTCAAGGTTAGCAAAAACGCTCACCGACTTAATAACCGCGTAAAAAATTTACCGACCGTACAGAAATTAAAGAACTCTTAGATTTAAAACATTGACTTTGATTCTTTATGACAAGATATGATGTTAAGTTTGTATTTTGTTATAGTCAACAAAATTACAAAAGATATCCAATTAAAGAGTAACTATTTTCAACTGATGTCGTACCGAACATAATAAGATAACATATACATTGTATTTGAGAGGAGAAAAACAACACAGGTCTGTATAACTAAATTGACAACAAAATGTCATATCTTGTCATACTAAAACAAAGGTAATATGTAAAATCATTCTTAAATTTCTTTGGCTTTTAGTCTTATACACATACTCTTTGGGGTCAGACCCTGCTCCCCAAGGTTTTACGCCCCTGTAATTCTTTTAATTAACATTTAAAGACGAATCCCATTCATCGGTTACAATGAAAAACTGGTTGCACAAATATACCTTTTACCGTCATGTCTCAATATAGTAAAGATTGCAGACTCCAAAATGTAAACACAAATTCTTAAAACCAGTTAAACCTGTTATCGTGACTTTTCCTGTGTAAATCAATAGAACATTGAATTATCTTCCAGATGCAGTCAGAATCAACATTTATATATCACATTTAATATTATCAAAATCAACATTAATATAAATCGAAAGTTTAAAATTGCGTCCTGTTCAAGCGAAACGAGGAGTTCTCGGCTCTGCGTTGAGCGCATATTAAGCCGGTACACAAACGGTTTACTCGTAAGCAAATAATATAACAGACATTTATGTGTAATAAATCTATAGCTAAGATGTACAGTGTGTTGTCTTCCACTTCCTACTCTAGATTTTTTAATTTGGCGGTCAGACTGAGTCTCCCGGAAGTAATGATTTTGATGGATCCCGGCTCAGAAAGCGAAACAAGAGTGCAAATATAAGCTAGACTCGGGTCACGAAATTATAATTGTACGTATAACTGCAATCTTTATTGAGACTTGATGGTAAAACGTATTTTCTTATTTATGCGAAAATTATTTTATTCTACCAGTTTTATTTTTTGTAACATGTCCCATTCGTACGGAAGCCCTGGAGGGACATTTATTATTTAAAAAATATTACTTATTACCTATTTTTTATAACTTATCAGTTATTATTTCTAGATTATAACTTATATTTATTATTGAACCGCGCCATGTTTGGCAGGAAAAAACTTTGTTTACATCAAGACAATTACCGGAAAAGATGGAAGGAAAATTATTATTTATTACTTGTTATTTATTACCGCCTCCGTGGTCGAGGGGTTAGAGTAGATTACTTCTAATCCAGTTACCTCTCTGGTGTGGGTTCGATCTCCGGGAGATGCTTTGGTAGTTTAGCACGGAGGAAGGTAGTCTGGTAACGTACTGGTGTAACTCTCCAGGAATGATGGTTAGGAAGCTATCCGCCTATATGATTGAAATACTGTTGGAAAAAGGCGTAAAATGAAACAAACAAACAAACAAACAAAATTATTTAATATGTTTAACATAATTATCAATTACAATATATTACTTATTATTTATAACTTATTATTTATAACTTATTATTTATCACTTATCACAGTCGAATATATCATTTAAAATCTGTGTATGTTGTAGTCTGATTATATAATGTATGCAATAAATATGTTTAAACTAAATACTTCTTAAATTATTATGTAACTTAAAATATTCGACTGAAATAAGATGTAAATTGATAAATAGTAAGTTATAAATAATAAACCATAGATAATAATTGATAATTATGTTAAACATATTAAGTAATAATTAATAATTAATAAATAATAAATAATAATCTTCCTTCCAGGACTCCCGTAATATATGACCATCTATAAATGATGTTCTCCTTCATCTTTTCCAGTAATTGTCTTAATGTAAACAGTTTTTTCCTGCCAACCATGCCGTTGTTCAATACTAAATATTAAGTAATAGTCTGTAAATAATAAGTTATAAGTAAAAAAAAATAGGTAATAAGTAATAATTTTAAATAATAAATGTCCCTCCAGGGCATCCGTAAATTCGTGAGTGTTTATAGGGACGTATCACGTTGGAGAGGGTCTGACCATCCAAGCGTCTGAATGTGGTCTTTACCGGTTATTGAATTTTCAATCCGGTTTTTGGCCAAAAAAAAACCCAAAAAACGACCGAACCCCGTTTTAAATGATTTGTTTGTAGGCGTGACTAACCATTGAAGTAGAACTGTCGTATAGAACTTAAGCTTATAATAGCAATGCAGTGTTGCATGCAGCAAAAACCAGCTGATACAGTAGCCATGTTTTTGAAGTAGTTTGTTTTTCTTTTCTTCACTCTTAGACAAAAGATAACAAAAGATTGTCCCAGCTTCACTTGAATATACTCTTGAAAGATATCTTTATATTGAATCTGCCTTTACAGCATGAATTTAACCTTGAACATCTTGGTGGTTTTGCCAATGTTTGGAATGGTGTATTTATTTAGGAGTAATGAAATAAAAGGGAATGCAATTCATTTTCACGTGGAATATTTAATGCAGGGAATTTATCTTTACATCTCAACAAATGTGCAATTACGTTTAAGCTTGAAATAAAGGTCATGTTATATTTTGCAGATGGCATGTCCCGCATGTAAAGGTGGTGGAGTTTGTTTCAAGTGTGATAAATGCGGGGCTTTACAATGTAAGAACAAGTCGTGTAAAAACTTCAGCCCGAAAGCTGCAAGCGGTTGCGCCAGTTGTGGCAAGTCTGGTGGTCAAAAATCCGTGTAGTCGACACCTGTTTTACAAGTAAGTTTAAATTCAGTCATTTTCACACAATGTGATTTTACGCTGAAGTATTTGACAAGTTGGTACCAATTGAAAAAATGAAATGTATCGAAGAATTTGAAAAATTGATCTATCTCATCCAACAAAATATATTTATAAAAATTATTTGATGTTATCAACTATTTAAAGAAGAAACTAGTTAGTGTTGATTTTGATATAACTATTATTTTATGATATTTTTACTCTGCGTGGAATAACGGTATTGGTATTGGCGTTTTTCAGAAAAAAAAATATTGACAAAGACAGTCATAAATTTATATTGTAATTTTGCTTTTGTTTCAGACTATACATGTACAACTGCCGGTCAGTCAACATCTCTGTGACATAGCATAGTTAAATTTACTTCACATTGAGAACTATGTGCATGAAACTGCCTTTATTGATTATGAATTTATAATAAATATCAAATGTCTTTACTGTTTTGCTTGTTTATTTTTTATCATTAATTTCTTTTAAGCTCAACCTTTGATCATAACTTTTTAAGTTCATAGATTATTGTCTTCATCATTGGCCACAACAGCCCTTAGAATGGATTGCCTTCAAACTTAAACACAACAATCTTTTAGGATAGACCAGACTGACATTGACCACTCATAAATGACCTTGACGTTGAAGGTTAAATTAATAAATTTTTTACTGATTTTTTGCTATAATTGACTGTAACTAACTTGGTAATTGATAAATGGATTATCTTCATATTTGGACAAAACAACCAATTGGGTTAGACCTTCTAAAAGGTTGAACTGACCTGACCTTAAGCTTCAATGAATGTGGAACTTGGACAAAACAAGACTTTCTACAAGACAAACATATGCAGTAATTCAGATGTGACCTTGACCTTTGATTGACATTGACCGTCAAGGTCAAATTAATGAAACTCTCTTATCCTATAGCAATGAGATTTGGACAATGTGTACAGTTCTAGATAAAAAATTGAACTTTGATATAAGCTGACCTCGATTTGTCCTTAAATGTACAACTATGAAATTTGGATCATATGTAAAATTGAACTTTAATTGTAAAATTGATATCAACTGACCTAGCTACGTACTTTCTTTTAAGAAAAACTTTATTTGGTAAAATTGATCTTTGATGTCAGCTGACCTAGATTGTGATGAAGATTCTGTCCTTATAGATGTATAGCTATGTAATCTAGATCATGTTCATAGTTTCAGATGTAAAATTGAACATTGCACATCATGGAAATGATTCTTACTTCGACAAAACAACTAATATGACAAGACCAGCCTATTTATATTTAAAAAGAAAAAAAGGAATAACCGATTTTTTAATTGATTTTTTAAAGATTTTTTTAAACATTTTAGTTGTTTGCTTTTAGAAAAAGTAAAAAGTCGAGTGTTGTCCCGCCCGGTGGTGTCTCTTGTTCATTTATAAAAGGCAGATGGATTTACATGTCCACTCATTTTCCTTACACGTTGGTCGTGTAATAACACAGTTTAACGTTGTATCTATGGCTAAGATGACATAGTGTGTACAAATTCCTTTTAAAACCACTATATAATCAGTTCAATAAATCTTAAGCTTTCGACGTTTAGTCTTCTTCAGAAAAAATTGACGTTTATAACATAACAAATGACAAATGACGCAACGTCCGTTTAAGTATACGCTAAACAGAACGTGACGTTAACGCGGGAATAAAAACTTTGTCAAATAAATACAGAATCTTTCATGAATATAAATACAGCAATATACAATAAATTACACATATAATATGTGATACTGCACATGTGATACAAAAATTCTCATAATTAATAATAATAAAAAAAATCTTGATATGAGAAAAAACATACTACATGTATATGTATACCGGCTCAATAATGACAAAGTTATAAAGTTTTTTTTGTTTTTTTTTTAAACCACTGTAATCTCAATTTTAAATAAATTACAGGAGTAAAGATGACCTGGCTATCTGTTTCACTAACTCATGACGTAATGTGTGTTTTACTAATAATTAAAAAAAACTGTACTGTCGTATGCTGTCAGTTTTTTTTTGTTTTGTTTTTTGAACAACCCAATAAAACATAGACGAACACATTACTGTTCCAAAGAACATTTGCTTTAATATGAATGTTCTTGAATTACAGCAGCATCTACAGGGCTAGAAGAACTGGACATTAGCTGGAATCACCTCAGACAAAGAGGAGCTATAGGTTTAGCAAAGGGACTTGAGGTGAACAAACTAGAAATAAAATGTTCATAAATTCATACGTCTTTGCAGTACATTCAATAACTATTACAATAATATGATAAAAGCTCGAGTTTCACTAACACATTATACAGGACAATATGTTATACTTAAATTTTACGTTGTGAAAATGATTTTTAAGAAAGCATCTACACATTATGGTAAATTTTAATGACTTTAGGAAACTAATCACTGCAAATAATTCTAAGAAGAAGGAACATTTCGAGAATTCTGTGATTGTTAGTTTATCTGGTTTATCTCGGTAGTAAGTACACCTGACTGACTGGCACGCATTAGTAATCCAGTATTTACCCATTTATCAGCAAGTAACCAGTTATCTCAATCAGTGGTGTGAGACAAGTTCGAGATCAATCGTCATGGAGAGATTTTGCCTCGTCTGAGGCCCGGACCAGTGATCTATATATTACTTATCTGATTATCCCCCTGTCATATAATACATTATCAACATTGTGAATTTTTTTTGCACTTGGAATTCTCAAAGGCATTAGGCTCGTTTGTCTTATCAGTAATGTTAAAATTATCATAAAAAATTTCCCAATGATCAAGTACGAAAGTAGTATCCAGCACCAGTTTACTTTATAATTATATCATATACTTTTTAATCTAAATAGACACACAATAAGTGACTAGAAAAACTACACAGGACTGATATTTACAGTAAATTTTAGTGGGAAAGTAAGTTAAGGACATACTGCCGTTATGAGATGAACAATAAAGAGCGAAGCTAGATGAACAATAAAGAGCGAAAGCTACGTACCGCGTTATAATATATTGGATAGTAATAGTGGTCTTGATAATAGATTATTCTATGATATTTTCCATTATTGACGAATGTCTGTGGGAATTCTATGATTAAGAAATAATATCGGTTTGAGCGGTGTTTATCGGCTTTTTAACACCGGTTTGTAGGAATTGACCACGAAGGCCGTAGGCCTGAGTGGTTAATTTTTCGCATTAAAACGACAAAACCGGTGTTAAATAGCCGATAAACACCGCTCAGACCGATATTATTTCGATTCTAATAGGATAAAAAATATGGAAGATCATTTATGTTATTTTTTGAAGCGAAAATAACTTCCGGTGCCGATTTTCGTATAACGCTGTTCGATTTCACACCCTACTGTTGCTAAGATATAGAAATTATTAAACAAAAGAAATAAGGAGAAAAAAGTTATTTTAACAAGTTTTCAACAATAAAAACTTACGTCTTAGAATGGATTGTACTGTGTTTACATAATTCTAAGACCGATATTATTTCTTAAACGAACATACAGATCTTTGTGATCACAATCCTTTATTATAAAATGTCAAATGAACGAAGATATGTTCACGGTCCTATATAAATGTCAAATGAAGAAGATATGATCACGGTCCTATATCAATGTCAAATAAACGTAGATATGATGACGGTCCTATATCAATGTCAAATGAAGAAGATATGATGACGGTCCTATATCAATGTCAAATGAAAAAGATGTAATCGCGGTCCTATATCAATGTCAAATAAGCGTAGATATTATGACGGTCCTATATCAATGTCAAATGAAAAAGATGTAATCGCGGTCCTATATTAATGTCAAATAAGCGTAGATATTATGACGGTCCCATATCAATGTCAAATGAAGAAGATATGATCACGGTCCTATATCAATGTCAAATAAATGTAGAAATGATCACGATCCTGTCAAATAAATGTAGAAATGTTCACGATCCTATATCAATGTCAAATAAATGTAGAAATGATCACGATCCTATATCAATGTCAAATAAATGTAGAAATGATTACGATCCTATATCAATGTCAAATAAATGTAGAAATGTCACGATCCTATATCAATGTCAAATAAATGTAGAAATGATCACGATCCTATATCAATGTCAAATAAATGTAGAAATGATTACGATCCTATATCAATGTCAAATAAATGTAGAAATGATCACGATCCTATATCAATGTCAAATAAATGTAGATATGATGACGGTCCTATATCAATGTCAAATAAACGTAGATATGATCACGGTCCTATATCAATGTCAAATAAATGTAGAAATGATCACGGTCCTATATCAATGTCAAATAAACGTAGATATGATGACGGTCCTATATCAATGTCAAATAAATGTAGAAATGATCACGATCCTATATCAATGATACTGTAGGTATGTATAATGATCACGGTCCGATATGATTTTAGATGAATGTAGAGTGTTATAGACCTTTTTAAGGCGCGGTCCGTTTGAAAATCGACTGGTAGCATTTTCTCGCGCATGCGTAACGCAGAATATCTTCGCCTGTGAAAGATTATCGTAAAAAAGGCATGGAAATGATGTTGTGTAAAATAATGTGCAAATTGAGTTCAAAGAGGATTTCACCTCAAAATTTCAAGGTCCCATATAATTTTAAGATGAATGTAGTGTTCTATAAAAACGTCAATCATGGTCCTGTATCAATGTCAAATGAAGATCACGGTCTGATACCAATGTCAAATGAACTTAGAAATGATCACGGTCCTTTACCAATGTCAATCGATTGTAGATATGATCGTGATCCTATATTAATGCAAAATGAAAGTGGATCGATCAATGTCAAATGAATCTAGATCCTGCAAAAATTATCTTAAATAGCAGTTTACAAGAACATAAATGTTAGCTACCGGAAATATCGGAGTTTGCCAAAATTATACGAACTGTTTATACATGTATGCATAGCGAACTGTTTATACATGTATATAGCATATCTTTAACATTGTCGTCTGTTTTTATATAGAAAAATTCGTCACTCTGTTATGTAAACCTTGGATGGAATGGGTTCGGGTTTGAAGGCTGCGTCGCCCTGTCAGACACTCTACGACATAACACATATATAGAGAAGCTGGACATCTCTTGCAATAGAATACACCCACCTGCATTGCTTGAATTAATGAAGGGTCTTCTTCACAATAAAGTTCTTAAAATACTTATTGTGAGTGTATGTTTTATCATAGTTAAACAAACAGTTACATTTATGTCAAAATACTAAAGAAAATAACATTGCAATACATGTATTTCCTCCTCCTCCTCATCTTCTTGTTATAACATCAAGATAGTTTAGATTTGTTTACGCATTAATTATTTCCACTATATCAAGTAATGTGATTGATCTGTAGGGTGAAAATTTCAGAAATCCTTGTATTTGTAACATTTCTTTTAGCAATCATACATAGGTCATAACGATCAAAGATTATATCAATTTTATAAACAAAATACATATTTTGTTCAAACTGCTGTCATTTAAGCTATGTAACTAAGTTGTAAGCATTTAAGTATCAAGTGTCATTTAACTTTTAATAGCTCGACAGAAACCCGATAACTCCGTCTTTTGCTACTGTATTACTAGAGGGAATACAAAAAGCCGCGGACATGGTTTTGGAACAACTAAGCCTTCAGGTAAAAGCAAACAACTTACATGATGATTTGTTTAGAACTGCCTTCCCTTGAATATCGAACAATTTGACTTTTAAGGGGTGTCAGTTTCTAACAACAAAAGCTACCGGCAAATGCTAATAAATCACTTTCGGTTCCTGAGGTTTTGAGTTTAATTTGTCTTTTTCTGTAATTAAAGTCGCACAACATATCTCGGCGAGTTCATGCTTACGTTATCTTAACTTTAATGAATACTTTATCATTCCTTACAGTCAAACTAGTTCGAAGATGGGCTAAATATTTTATATTTATTTTTAAAAGCCATAATTTATCTTTTTTTCAGTTTTTACTTTAGGTCGAGCTCAACCTCAAAGAACAAATCAAGTTTAATGTAATTGCTTTAAAGTGTTCTTTTTTCCACAATAGGGTATTGTAGTTGATCGAGATTTCCAGGGGATTTGTGAGGACATTCGACAGTACAGAAACAACTTCCGGGTGGAATATGAAACGTCACTTCCGGTCACTAGTAGAAATAGAGATGACATGATGAAAGAGGTAAAAGTTGTTTTTATGTTCGCTATCTGTGGATTTAGATAAATAAGAAATAGTAGAATGGATGTTGACTTTTTTAATGTTAAAAAAAAGTGTTCACATGGATTACTTCCATTACCTAGTCTTTGTATACAATTATTTGTTCGTTCATATGAAAAATTTGTACAAGTGGCTCAAACTCATATATTAAAAGGACTATTTAGCTAAAGTTTGAAAGAATCTTAATACGAATGGTTTTTTTTATTCAGATTGAAACCCGGAACGACTATAACATCGAGCCACTACGTATGTTGTATTTACTGAAAGAACGGAACAGAGCGCAGGACTTCTTCCATAAAATTAACAAAGACCATGATTCAGGTTTGACCCCTGACGAACTTAGTATGCTGTTTAAGGTATTAAATTATAATTGTACTTTTTAAATTTGGTCTATGAGTACGTGAAATGCATCATCCAAGTGTCAAGTTAAAAGTCTATTTAAATAAACGAAATTTCCGCCGGAGAAAATAATAATAATGATTGTGTGTAATGTTATCAGAATATTTTACAGTATGTCTTGCTCTTTAGTTTAATTGTGTATTGACCATCAAGTTATTCCAGTAAAATGTGTTTCAGGAATTTGTACTTACTTTTTCCTACAGATACACACCATTTCACATTATTGGTTGTCGTGCACAGATTTGAACAAAAAAAAAGGTTTTTGTTCTTCATCTCATTTGTAATGTAATACATTGACGTTCGTTAAAAATATATATAATATTTATAGGAGTCCGGTATCCCTGTATCAAGGTATATTATCGACAAGATCATGAGTTTTATGGACACCGATCATGACGGGAAAATTGATTTAGGGTATCTCTATTAAATTTTAAATTTTGAATAATAGTTTATAACTTTATATCATTTTTACTTTCTTATTTATGAAATTATACATTTGATCATAAAGATTTATCTACAAAAGAAACGATTGGTATCAATAGATACCTTTTTAAAATTGATTTAAAATTGTAACTATAGAGTTTTTCGAGCGGTCGAAATATGAATTTAATGTTGTTTGGTAAAAATGTAAAATAGAATTGATAATGGTATGTGAATTAAATCTTTAACATCTCTTAATCTAACAATATACCGGTACTCAATGATCAAGTCTTAATAACCTTTGTAACTTAAGCAAATGTCTTATTCATTTTAATTAAATTCAATCTCTATCTGCTTTTAAACGTTTTATCCAAAATAGCCAAAGTGCATTGTTTTAATATTTTAGAGAGTTTCTTGTTGGAGATAAGAAAATAAAGAAGATATCACGTGACTATGCACGAACCTCGGTAGATGATGATGTTCATTATTCCCGTTATTCACGCACTTTCAGAAAGGCACACATTCAACAACTGACCTCGCGACTTAAGGTATGGTTCTCATTATGTGCATTGATTTTAAATAACTTTTTGTTGCTGACAAAATATCTAAATTTAACAGTTTTGCTTCCGTCAATATATGACAGTGATCGAAATATTTTAGTCTCTATACAAGTTTTCATACTAAATCTTCAACACTATCAATACTTAAAGACTCAATTAAATATGTTGGTTGTTTTATAAAGATTCCGAGTTTTTTTGTTTTTTTTTCTTCAAAAAGGTAGAAGAAACTCAGAACTATTTGTCTCCTATAGCATCTTTAGCACCTTCTCCTGCAAGCAGCAGACGATCTTCTATAAATAACTAGTGATGGCTTGAAACTGAACCGAATAACAACTATACAAGAAGTCTGATCAAAGTGTTAAAAACAACTGTTACTGCCATAAAGTACAAGAAGAAAATTGCCAAAACATATAGATACCTACATAATTATACTTGAACACTTTCAATACCATAGCCTGAAAACAAATTTAAACTAGTGTTTTAGTGGTATGCTATTTTTCATTGTGTATCTGTTCATCTAACAAGCAAACTAATCAGTAAAATATACTAAAATAATATGTAAAACTCAAATGGACAGGTTAGGAATTAATGGGTTATTTTACATGTATTTCGTCTCTTTCCATGCTTAAAGATCCTGTATGTTTTGTGGTTGATATTGTTACTGTGTGTATACCACACAAAAAGTTATATATGTATATACATGTAATTATGCAAATAAAATAATTTTCAAACATCGAAGAATGTGTAAAATGTGTACTGCAAATATTTGTACACATTATATTTAATCAATAAATTATATGCATTCATTTCTTATTGGAAAATTTGACTTTTGAATTTATAGAAAATGAATTTCTAATTACCTCCCTTTATTTACATAAAATGTTAAATTAGGTAATATCTTTATAAATAATGCTTATTGAAACTTACAATATTGACAATTCTTAATTTGAACATCATATTTATGAAATAAAACCATGAAAAAAAAAGTGTTACAGGATCTTTAATATATACCTAATGTATTTAATGTATATATCTTAAAAGAATGCGCTCAGTTGACATGTATTTTGAATGCATTCAGTTGATATCTAGAATGCGGTTAGTTGACATGTTTATACATGATATATGTAGTTATTGTTTTTGAGAGAATAAAAGTGACTAAATATGCCGAACTTTTATCCGAATTTAATGGATGCTTTACTTTAAAACGACCAAATGTGAGACATAACTTTGACACAAGATTGGTTGAAATTCCTAAACCATTTCTAGATTTATGTTGAGGTTGTTGTATTAAAAGAATGGCAGTGTTAAGTGGTAAGAAAGTTGATATTTATTGTGAAATTGCTGCTTGTATGCGACGACAAAGTGGATGATATACATGCATTTCTATAAATCTAACATTGTTCGCAATCTTTATTTGAAAACTACTAATCTCTTTGATAAAATTTCCTATTTTGTACCATGTTGTCAGATATATTTCAGGTGTGTCAGAAATATGCCAGTTATATGTCTTTGTAATAAATCATGGATACCTATATAACCTGATATATACAATATTAAACGATAAAGAAACTCTTTCAATTATCTTGGAGTTCTGAAAATTGCATGCCTTAAAAGTGAAAATGCACATTAATAACTATTCTGAGGAAGTATTGATCATCAAGGTCATTAAATGCTTTAACAAACTTTTCTATAATCAAACATAGTGCTTTTGTCTCAAAAGGTTTTCTTCGTTTTAATTATTTTGGTTTTATCTCAAATACCACATAAGATTTGCAATTCATGTTTACATTGCAAAAAGGGCAACAACAACCAGGCACAAGATTTTCCCAACAGTATAGCTGTCATCAAATAAATTTGAAAGCTGTGAGGATAAACATTTTGCAGCAGTCGCATCCGCTAAAAAAGCGATCCGGTCTGTAAAACAATGCTTTACATGTGTTATTTCCATCGCGAAAAGACCTGTCGGTCCGGTTTATTCAAATCTCTTTTTATCCACAACAAGGAGCATAACTTTACATAATCAAGCTATTGCAATTTTGTTGGGTTTTACGTCGCACTCCAAAATTAAGGCCATTTGTCAACTTTCCAGGTTTACTGGTGGGAGAAAGACCTTGGTTCATTATTTCAGGCACAAGAATCAGGTTCCGTAGCCAGCTGGATAGCTTCATCCAATGAAAGAATCCAAAGTCCCTGGCGGGTGGCGAGGAGTAAAATGTTTCAAGACAGACATTAACCACTCGGTTATGTACATGTATTTATGCGAGAACAGGTTTCTCGAAATAACAAAGCTACCCCTGATTTCTTTTAATCAATCCGCAGTAAAAGTTACCTGTCGGGCCATAAGGGTTTTCACCCCGAAGTGTCTATAAACGTTTTCAACAAAGTTACCTCTCGAGCCTCTTTTAGACACACACTGTCAATCTGATCTCCTCGGCTATTATGCTTCTCAATATATCGGAAGCGCCGATGTTTTACGATTTATATTCTACCCGAGTTTTTGTAGAACAAAGCTACAACTGAAGCTCCTTTTATGTTACATAGTACATAACTACCGACATCCTCTTCCATCAATTAAAATGTTGAGCAGTCATGTTAAGCAGTTATATTTTACAACTTGATACATGTATAACGTTTTGATTTTTTTGTGGATTTTAATTATTATGTTCATTCCTACAGTTTAGTATTTTCTCGATTATGTAAGGAACACTTAGTTAAATTATTGAAATGTAGAAACATGTAAATTATCAATTAGTCAGACCACTGACATGTTTATTGTAATTTACACTTCTGACACTTGTGTATGATTATTCAGTAAGTCCAGGTGGCGATTACATCACATCTATGACAAAATAGAGAAAATAAGAATCACTAAAGAAAGCACAACACGTCAAAATTGAAAATGTTGCAGAAGCCTGTTCATGGACGGAACTGTCAAGTGCAAACTATGATTGTTGTCATTCATTTGACCAAGGAAATTTATTTGAGGTCTAATTCATTGATTATCTAATTGACTTAAAGATGCTGTAATTAACTCTATTTTTATGGTTTTATATCATAAATATAATGCTCAAATGAAGATTTATTAATATTGTAAGTTCAAAAAAGCATTATTTGTAAAGATATTACCGAATTTACATTTCATTGATAAAGGAGGTAATTAGAAATTTATTTTTCTATAAAGTCTAAGTCAAATTTTTCAATAAGGAATAAATGCATATATTTTAATGATTACGAAAATGATCTGCACCGGGTCGCCCAATTCACAATCCAACGCCTCACCGGACGGCACTCGCTGTCACTTGACTAACGGGCGTGACAATCATTTTTGATTGGTCGAATCGATAGTTTCGAAATTCATAGCATATATGTTCGTTGGTTAATTGTTAGATTGGTCGGAAATTCCTAGTGTCGTTAAATAAGGGTTATAAGCTCGTATAGTCAGATGTGTTAAGACTCCTAAACTATAAACTTGTACTTAAATTGAATAAAACGAGGATGGAAAAAGACACCTCGTTTCTGTTTCTAGGAAGAAAATATTAATAAGTCTCGCGTAACAAAAACCACCACTGAAGCTGCTTTCAGGTAAATTTTGTACCATCAAGAGCTACTTTAAGCCACACTGTTGTATACAACTGCTGTCGGGTTGCTGTTAGATAAAGCTGCCCCATCGTGAGCTAATCTCGGACATATTATGTTGTACAAAACTGTAAAATTGAAGCAAACACAAATTTATCGCAGGAGTAAAAAAAACGAGAAAAAAAACAACAAAAAAACAAGAGCTGTCACAGGAAACAGCAAAGCTCGACTAATTAAATACTGGACGCAGTAAGGAAGACAACACTATGAAAGAAAATTCAATTATGATAAAAATATATTCTGCATCAGTATCAAGAAAGCACTCAAATGTTTTATATTTTTGCACAACATAATATGCATATCATCTTCTCAATAAATGTTAAACAGACAATTCTATGGTTTTTTTTTTGGAAAAAAACAGCAAATGGAAATCTGAAGTCAATCCGCAACAAAACACGTTGCAGCTATACTGTGTAGCAGGAGACCCAAAAATAATTAACAGGGCAAAACACTTTTTTATTCAAGGGCAATAACTCAGCTGAAAATCATTCAAGCGAAAAACTTGTGTATTATGCACAAGTACTTGACCTACCAATCAATCCTGTAAAGTTTCATTGAAATTGCATTAATGGTATAAGAAAAGCAGTCCTGACAAACTTCAATAACACCCTTTTCATTCAAGGGTCATAACTAGGCCAAGGGGAAAACCCGTGTAATATGTGCAAGTACTTGACCTACCAATTAATTCTGTAAAATTTCACTGAAATTGCATTAGTAGTATAAAAGGAGTAAGTCGATCAGGACAAACTTTCAAAATAAACAATTAAAGGGCCATAACTCTGACAAAAATCATTGAACCGGAAAATACTGACGATATGCACAACTAGACTTGGTACTGACCATTCCTGTAAACTTTGGATGAAATTGCACCAGTCGTTTATGAGAAGAAGTCTGGACAAGTTTTGTGACAGACGGACAGACAGACGGACGTCCGACCGAATAGGGATAAAGGGCCATTTCTATTGTTATTTTCTTCTGTTTAATAGAGGGCCATGGTCTACGAAATGGATTATATTGTTCTCTTTTGTTCTGTTTACAGTTAGATGGCCCCTATCCCTATTCGATAGTGCAGACAGACAGGCTGACAGACGACGGAGAAGTGATCCTTATCTGTCGCCACTACTCAGTAGAGACGACACAAAAAATTATAAGAGCAAAAAAATTGAAGTTTTTAAAGTAAACTTATACCGTAAGTTCAAAGAAGAAATAACTCTTGAAAAAAGATGCTAGTTATGACCCTTGTCATGCATGATGTGAGTAATGACAATGAACAATTATTTATCTTAGGTCTAGAGTAGATACCATTTATATTAGCAAAGATAATACTAAAGAAAAATTTACCAATGAATTTTAAGTTAAAAAATTAAATGGAGATAATTCTGGGAATACAGGAGCCTGCGTTTTATAACTCTTATCCATATGACAAGAAGTTATAGTAAAAAAACCATTGTTAACATAACTTCCAAGTTCAAGGGGAAAATTCTGGAAATAATCAAGCTAGAGTTATGAACCTTGTCACACAACATGGGTGTAATGATAAGAAACATATATTTGAAATTTGAAGCAGAAACTTTAAAAAAGTAGAGAAGATATGATATTTCTTAAAGAAAATCCTACTTTCAAAGGGAGATAAATCTATTGCTTCAAGATTTATGAACCTTGTCACATAAGATGTGGTTGATGATAAGGAATATGGGATACGGACAAAAGCCCCCCCCCCCCCGGACGAAAGCCCCCCATCTAAAAATGACAAGGTGGACAAAAGCCCCCCATGAAATTTGCACGTAGGACAAAAGCCCCCATCAAAAAACCAGGTAGGACAAAAGCCACCCCCCACCCAGTCCATCGAGAATCTCGTCAGTTTAAATCCGGAACTTGCTGTATTGAGACAAGTCAAAATCGGTATGTTTAATTTAACAAATAAATGCAATTAAAAGATAATTTACATTAAGATTTAAATTTAAAGGTACAAAAGTTCTCATTTCATTTATTGTGTAATTTCTATATATAATTCATTGATGATATGAATGTTTTTATGTTTACCTTATTACATATTGTGCAGTACAAATGTAAATGAATATTTTCAGAGAATCGCTTATCAACGCTTATCAAAGGATTTTAGATTTATTTTTTGAAGTATAACCCAAGTCCCGAATACTGGGCATGTGAAAAAAGATAGTAATCAGCCTGGTCTATAAACCTTAGGGGAGCTTTTGTTTGATGGACTGGGGGGGGGGGGGGGGCTTTTGTCCTACCTGTATTTTGGTGGTGGGGGGGGGCTTTTGTCCTATTTGTAAATTTAATGGGAGGGCTTTTGTCCACATTGTCATTTTTAGATGTGGGGGGGGGGTTCGTCGTGGGGGGGGGCTTTTGTCCTTACACTCAAGGAATATATATTTGATACCTTAAAACTAAAGAAGTTATAGTAAAACATAACATTTTTCAAGTAAAAAAAGTTCATGTGGAGATAATTCTTGCAATATTGGTGCTAGAGTTATGAACCTTGTCACTTAAGATGTGGTTTATGATAAGGTACATATATTTGAAGTATGAAATTGATCCCTTAAGAAACAAAAAAGGAACAATAAAATTAATATTTCTAAAGAAAATTCTAGTTCAAGGGCAGATAAATCTGAACATATTGGTGCTAGAGTTATGAACCTTGTCACATAAGATGTGGTTGATAATAAGGATTATATATTTGAAATCCTTAACAAAAAAAGAAGTAACAGTAAAAATATTTTTTAAGGAAAATTCTAAGTTCAAGGGGAGATAAATCTGAACATATTGGTGCTAGAGTTATAAACCTTGTCACGTCAGATGTGGTTTATGATAAGTTACATATATTTGAAGTTTGAAGTTGATACCTTCAGAAATAAAAAAGTTATAGTGAAAAATATTTTACTGCACTAAAACTTTAATCTGAAATCTGTACGCGGAAGCCGATGCCGACGCCGGGACGAGTGGGACAGCTCTCCATATACTTTGTATAGTCGAGCTAAAAAGAACAACTGTTTATTCACGATAAATATTATTCAGTCACTGTAAATCAAACCAACACAAATTTAAATATCAATACATGTTTCGCTTTATTAGCTTCGTCAGCTGATACACGACCGCATGTATAAAACATATATATATATATACATGTTTATATCTTTAAAGATTTATTATTCACTGTGATTAGTAATTTAATGTTTACAAACTGAAAAATGTTTCTTTTAATGTAATCGTAAGTCACAATCCATTTTGTGTAGTAGAACTAATGGGTAGTTTACAGTAGATCTAATGTGTAGTTTACAGTTGATATAATGTGCAGTTTACAGTAGAGCTAATGTGTAGTTCACAGTATAGCTAATGTGTAGTTTACAGTAGAGCTAATGTGTAGTTTACAGTTGGTCTAATGTGTTGTTTAAAGTTGAACTAATGTGCAGTTTACAGTTGGTCTAATGTGTAGTTTACAGTAGTGTTGAGATGTAGTTTACAGTAAATCTAATGTGTAGCTTATTGTAGCTTATAGTACTGATGTGTAGTTTACAGTAGTGCTTATGTGTATTTACAGTTGGTCTAATGTGTAGTTTACAGTAGTGCTACTGTGCAGTTTACAGTAGTGCTAATTTGCAGTTTACAGTAGTGTTAATGTGTATTTTTACAGTAGTGCTAATGTGCATTTTACAGTAGAGCTGGTGTGTAGTTTACATTTCAGCTAATGTGTAGTTTAGGCAAATTAGACAACTCTCCAAACATTTGTCACTTATTAATTATGATATCACTCAGTAGTCTTCAACGTCAGAAGCCGGAATGATCTTGAAAAGTTTCACGCTGTTGGGATTCCCTTGTTCAGATAGGGCAAACTTTTCTCCATCTGCCGTAAAAGCTATACATAATGGTCTTGCTAATGTGTCCATTAGTATCTGACTGAACTGGCCATCGTCTTTTACTTTGTGGATGTCGTTGGACCAAAATCCACACACATGTAAATTGCCTCGAGAATCTACACTCACCCCTCGTGGTCCGGATACTTTGTAGACAAAGAGTGGTGTCTTGTTTACTTTGCCGTTTTCGTACTTTAGGGCAGTGACAGTATGGTTGTTATAGTCTGACACAAACAAATGACAACTGAACGGGTTGAAGGCTATAAACTCTGGGTTGCTGAATACACGTTTGCCAATGTAGTCCGTATCGACCATCATTTTGACAGCTCCGTCAAGGGCGATAATTCGAATGCAGCCGCTTGCAAACGTTACGGCCAAGTCGTCACCAGCCATACAGATACCGTTGCAGCCACGGGATGCAGAGACGTATCCAACCTCAGATATATGTTCGTTGACCTTGAAGATGCGTATCCTCCTTTCGTTTGGAAAGGTAACTGCACATTTTGCTTTGTCGATGAAGGTCAAATCCCATGGCGGTGTGCTACAGTTGAATGTCACCAAAAGGTCACCAAATTCTCCAAACATTTTAAGACGAACATTCGAATTATCCGCTAGTAGAACTTTTTTGTTGTTCCAGAGCTTAATGGCTGTAATTTTACATTCTCTCTTGTCACCTTTAACCTTAGCGTTAAATGTTTTTATTTTTCTTGTCGCCTTTTTTTCGTCATCTTCCTCAGCAACAGGTGTAGGTGGTGGTGGTGGTGTTAGCGGTTTCTTGTTTGGGTAACTATGTTTAATATCCAGTTTTCCGAGGATACCAAGGGCCCCGAGAGTTTCTGCTACTTGGCGGTCTTCCTCAAACAGATATTTAATTTTCGCGGAATTCTCGTGGATTTTCTTCAGACCGCCTGAGCATTCGTTGTATTTAACTTTCCCTTGATGTGATACGATGAATTCTTTTTTAATAAGTTTTTGCTCTCTTGCAGATTGAATAGCAGTTTTGGAATGATGCATCGCGCTCTGAACACTGTTGCAATAGTCAACCTGTTCCTGCATGATCGCAAAGTCTGTTTGCGTGATCGCCTCGAATTTGGCTGTAATTTGCGATTCTATCTTCTCAATGTGGTCGATCAACTTCTTTTTAGCGTCGCTTATGTCTTGTAGCATTTTCGTCTTTTGCATTAGGGTATTTCTCATTACCTCTTGCCTTTCACGTTTGATACTGTCAGCTTCGGTGATCAGGCTTTCCATGTCTTTGAAAAGTTTCGTGTTGTCAATAGGTTCCTCTTTCTGCACCACATCATTAATTTGTGCCACTTTTTGACATGTCCGGTGATTAGTAGCTATACACATTGGACAGCATGGTTGCTCGTGATCTTGACAATACATGTCCACTTCTTTCTTGTTATGTTCGTAGCAAATGACCTCTTCTTTCACTGCCGGTTTCGGATTACTTCGGACATTTTCTAACGGCGTGATCTCGTGATTTTTTGTTGCTTTCATAGACATATGACATTTTGCGCATTCTTCACACAATGCCTCTGAACACTGCTGACACCAGGACCTGGCTATTTTGGATTCCTTGTTGTCTTTACAGGGCTCACAAAACTCTAACCGTGAAGATACTGGTACAATATCTACCAGAGTCCCGACCAAATGATTCATCGGAAAATGCTCCGACCACTGTTCAACTGGTAACGCAGGTTTGGGCGAAAATGTTACCAGTTTACAAGTAGGACATGGTATACCCTCTTTGGTCGCGTTTTTCTTCTCTGGCGCGTTAACTAGGTAATTCTTTAGGCACGATTCACAGAACGTGTGGAAACATGGAAGCGAACGTGGTTTATTAAGCCTTTGAAGACATATTGAACAAATTAAAGACATCTTTAAAACCTTTTTATCGTCTGTTTCCGCCATAGTTATTTTTTGTTCTCTCTTCGTTTTAAAATATATTTTAAGTATAAGAAAAACGTTTAATAAGTAAACACTTATATCCTATGTAAGTCTTACGTACAGTAACACTGTCCACGTATGTAGAACATTCTTTTTAGTGCGGTTCGTATAATGATATACCGTTATATATATTTCGTAATATTCACTGTTTAGCTGAACAAAAGAAGTTAAAATCAGACTGAAATCGATAGTGTTTTGTTCACACTGAATGATTTTAAGACAACGCACTTCCATTCAATTATAAATGGTTTTGTTTTACTTACTTCGAACAAAACAATACATTTTAATCAATAAACTGAAAGTCATGAAAGAAAGCATGACATTGCCAAACTACTATTAAAAAGCGAGATAAAGAAGGTACATTTTTTACAGTATACATGTACATAACTACTTAACTATGAAGAAAATATTTTTCGAAAATATGTGTTCAATATTTTTGAGCTTTGTTGTTACTTGAGAATGTGGAAGTTTACATTTGTATTATCGCACCATTATAAATCTATGTCAAAACCGGGCGAGCCAAAACAAAAACACTGGAAATGCTTGTTCCGACAAGTCCCTTGAATTTTATTCATACATATGTATGCTTAGGGGGAAAATTCTTAATTTTCCCTTTATTGAATATAATAGTTATAGCGCTAGGCCGAAAGGAAATGAAAAATGAAAGTATGATTTTGTGAATCCTTATCAAGCAACCTCTGAAAGCAAAACTGTTCAAATCAGCATCAAACTACATATAAATCAGTTAAACAAAATCAAACCTTTAATTTTCACCGCAGAAAAGGTTTCGCAAGGAAACTGTCCAAACATGCAGATTTTTTTCTTAATTATAACTACATGTGACCTGTAAAATTTCATTGATAAATTAATATATTAGACATTATTGGCAAGTAAAGCAACTATCCGACACAGATGTCCGAAATCGGCGAAGCCTGCAGCAGTTACTTCCCTGATACACACGGTTTTCTTAATTTCTAATACATTCCATCTCATTAAATCGTAATGTACAAAGTAATAAACGTATCTCACTTTAACTATTAAAAACGAATCATTATCATAGGGAAGATACAGAACTGGGTTGTGTGTGTGTGTGTGGGGGGGGGGGGGGGGCGGCAGGGGGCGGGGTGCATGTGAGCGATAGATATTTTTATGGTGGCTGATTTGTGCCATTTGTGATTTCGCCCCGCGACCCCGCCAAGCGAAAAGTCGAGACTAAACAAGTTAAAAACACGCTAATTAGCGAGATCGCAGTTTAATAAATAAAACGTCGCCTCGCGAAATAAAACGGCGGGGCGCCGAGTAAAAACATGCATATAAGCGGGAGCGCGGGGCGAAGTTTAATAAATAAAATTTCACTCCGCACACCCGCTAATTAGTGTGTTTTCGCTTCGCGACCAAGCCAAGCGAAAAGTCAAGAATTGACATGTTAAAATAGCAGGTGCGCGGAGCGAAAATACGCTAATAAGCGAGGGACCTGGGCGAAATAAAACGACGGGGCACGGACCGAAAACACGCTAATAAGCGGGGGCGCGGGGCGAAATTAATAAATTGAACTTCGCCCTGCGCCTCGCTTATTTGTGTGTTTAATTTAACCTTCGCCCCGCTCCCCGCTATTTATTGTGTTTTCTGCCCGCGACTCCGCTAAGCGAAAAGTCGAGATTTAACAAGCGGGGAGTTAATAAGCGTGTTTTCGCTCCGCGTCCCCGCCGTTTTATTTCTTAAAGCTCGCCCCCCCCCCCCCGCGAGGCGAAGTTTTATTGATTAAACCCCGCTAATTAGCGTGTTTTCGCTCCGCAACCCGCCATAATATAAAATGATAAAATCTACATCAATCAAGTTTTACCTAACTTTTCACTTTTTGATAGGCATGATCGAGTGATATTTCAATGGAGCTGCTTATCTCTGTTATCTACATCTATGAAAATATTACAATTTATAAAATATTTAAGACATAGAGATACATGTATATCTCATAGAAGATAATTAAAACCAAGTGATCAATTATTTTTTCTTATAATCAATACATATCATTTTTTATTTAAACATCATTATTTAACAATCAAAGACTTAGAAATTACTTGAATTCTGTCATATTTACATTATAAAGATGCTTCCAAAATGAAAGAAACATCAAACGAGTTAGTTTTTAAAGCACAATATCCTCATCATCTTTATAAATTTGCCAATTTTGAATTTCTTTACTGTAATTGGAAAAAAAAATAAAGACAGTAAAATTTGTTGTAGACTTCTGCTTTAGGGCCTATATATATGCATAATTTCATTCTGAAGCGTTTGGAAAGTAAAAACCTAATGATGCAAACTGTGCATATCCATATCGGTACCCTCTTTGCGAAATCTGCTCAAACGGTACCCTCTCTGAACATGCACAGGTCATTCTCTGCTAAAAGCAAACCAGCGATGGATACCAATCCAGTAAAATTTTATTGTAATAAGGAAAGGAGGTATGTCACGTAGAAAAGATGTATACCACGGAACACTAGGATGTTTTATTTATGTGCTGATTTGTCATGTGCCCGATTTTCATGTACTGCAACTTCACAATAAGCTACAAAAATCGACGTGTCTTGCTTCGCCCATCACCTCGACATATTTTTAGGGCTGAAATGAACCTGTGGCTTGATTATATATGCATCATACATATTTAATATGTTCATATACATATCATCTTCGGACAAATGGCAGTATATTGTCAAGAATAAATGTAAAATTCATAAAAACACCCTACTTTCGGTTTTGCAGCGGCACGGGCTACCTCTCTTCATTTGAATTTTGATATCACAGGTACCCTCATATTATTGAACACATAGGTACCCTCAAAGCACGACATATGCTTTTATTTGCGTTAATTGTTAAGTATGTAATATTTACATAAAAGTAAAAAGTATTACATACACACTTAACGATTAATGCAAATAAAAGCATATGTCGTGCTTTGAGGGTACTAATGTGTTCAATAATGAGAGGGTACCTGTGATATCAAAATTCAAATGAAGAGAGGTAGCCCGTGCCGCTGCAAAACCGAAAGTAGGGTGTTTTTATGAATTTTACATTTATTTTTGACAATATACTGCCATTTGTCCGAAGATGATATGTATATGAACATATTAAATATGTATGATGCATATATAATCAAGCCAAAGGTTCATTTCAGCCTTAAAAATATGTCGAGGTGATGGGCTAAGCAAGACACGTCGATTTTTTGTAGCTTATTGTGAAGTTGCAGTACATGAAAATCGGGCATATGACAAATCAGCACATAAATAAATCATCCTAGTGTTCCGTGGTATACATCTTTTCTACGTGACATACCTCCTTTCCTTATTACAATAAAATTTTACTGGATTGGTATCCATCGCTGGTTTGTTTTTAGCAGAGAATGACCTGTGCATGTTCAGAGAGGGTACCGTTTGAGCAGATTTCGCAAAGAGGGTACCGATATGGATATGCACCGTGGATTATGTTAACAGATCTATACAAGCCTCAAGGTTTACACTTATTGTCTAATAAGTCTCGCGTGATGACAGCGATGAAAGCAGATATTCGGGATTGAAATTAAAAATGGCAGCCTCCATGAACAACAAACTTGCTTTATAAATTTTACGATTTAACTACTTGAATATACCTGTTACACTATGAACACCATTTTATCATGTCCTCTAGCAAGGCTTCTCCAAAACAGGCATATCGCAAATAGGTGAATATATCAATTGTTAAAAAAATTTAAAGTCCTGTATGGGCCGTTCTGTATAATTCACTTTTTCAGACTGTTCGAAATTCGAAGCATTACCTGGGCAGTTTATTTGCCTTATTCGCAATCCAAAATGAAACCTAAGCAATGAAAATTCAAATCTTAAAGAGAAAAAATTGTTATTTTTTACTTGTTTACTTCGTTTTCAGAGTCGTATGGTACTTAATTTGGCACATATACCAGGGCTGCAGATAACATGAGTATTTGCGTTATTACCCAATTAAAATGTCTAAAAACCCAATAGAAATAATAACTAAGGGTAAGAAAAAGTAAATGAATTCTTATTTATGCAAACTACATTTGAACTTGTGCGTAATGACGTAAATTATTACTTAACGCGTACATCAGGCAGATCATACTGTTTCAGACTATATCAGGCAGCTTGGAAATCTCCTAGGCCAATAAACCATAAAGCAAAGTAGTAAGTAGCTTTTTTATAACCATACAAAACCTACAACAGTCTACAATGAAGGTCAGAAATTCTGGGTAAAATACATGAACTCGTGCTTTACAACCCAAATTGGTTAGAGGGGGTAGGGTAAAAAATACAGAAAGAACTCAAAGAAAATAGAAAAAACCCAATAGATCACAAAACAAGGGGTAATTACCCAATATACACAAAATATTATCTGTAGCCCTGATATACTGACATAACGTGAACGCTGAAGACAGACCCGTAGGGAAAGTCCACCAATAATCGTGTTAGGAATCTGACATGCTCCTATTCATTCATCGAATATGTAATATGAAATTAGGCAACACCTATAAACGGGAAAGTCGTTAAAAAAATCCTTTAATTCTTTCCATTTTAAAGGTGTCATTCGGTATTACATGCACCGCTTCCGTTTTCACTCGGAACACTCGACAATTGTTATTGATCCGAAAAGTTGAGATTTGTTCCGTTATCGGAATACCCCCCCTATTATCATTGAGTTCCATTGTAAATGGCAGCGCCCGACTAGAACTGACACTGAAAATTTCATTGATAGGTATAGAATTCTATATATATTTTTTAATCAGTTTTTATTTGATTTTCTTTTAAATATACATGTGTAGTCTATAGTTGGGCAAACCAAAGCCCGGACCCGCTTTGCGGGCCCGGTCTTTGACTTCCCCGTATAATCTGTCCATAAGCCAAGGATGGACACATAAAAATCTTATTAGGAAATAGTTTCCGACAGGTAAAAAATTCAGCACTTGGCCGCCATATTGCCAAAATGTTTGACCACGTGACAACGAGATTGACCTCTAATTGTTAATTTGTGCGGACGGTAAAGACAACAGAACCCATGTACTACCAACTTACCGGTATTTATAAATTACTTTTTAAAAGATATTAAA